GTGGTGGGGTTCAAACGCTGAGCTGCCTCTGAAGTCATTTTGTTTCTTTTACAGCTGAGATGAGTGATGCCAGTGTGAGAAGCTCCCACTGAGAACAGCTCTCTTGCCAAGCCAGGTATCAAAGTGTCAAAGTCAACTAATGTTGGCATCTTACAAATACCCAGGTATAGGTGCAGGAGGAGGCACGCCATGCACAAAACACAGGGCCAGGAGAGGACGGCATCCCTGAGGATGAGCCTTCCCAGTGAGTGCCAGAGGTCCAACCAGGTCCAGGGCCCCACTGGCCTGGGCATTCCAATGCCGTTGATTTCACCCATGACGGCCTGAAGGGCCAGAGGACCTGGTTCCAGAGGACCCAGGTTCAAGCCAGCTCACAACTGTCTATAACTGCAGTTACAGGTAATCTGACACCTTCGCATCATACCCATAAAAATAAAGTTAAATAATTTTTTTTAAAAAAGATGGGGTCTGTATATATGTCTGATCTCTATGTCTCTATTCTAACTCTTCTGACCCCCTGCTTCCTGACTACTTTCAGGGGGTGCCTCTAGCCTGTCTCAGGGCTGACCTTCAAGAGAGTACCAGATTCTGGAAGCACAGTGGGTCCTTGGGTCTCCAGGTTAAGTGGCTTCTTTCTAGGCAAGCAAAGCTAGCCATGAAGGGACCTCACGTGTGAGTCGAGAAGACACCTATCTAAGGCTCCGGGATCCAAGATGCAGAGCTGTAAGGTCAGACAGAGGCTCAGAGAAACCACAGCAGGGTTATCACACGCCCTGGGGCTGCAGAGCAGTCTCCTCTTCTGTGTCAGCCCCAACTTGTAAGCTCACCAGTCATGTCTCCGAACCCCTTCTCTAAGTACTTGGTTCCACCTACCTGCCTACAGGTAGCTGCCTCTGCTGTTGTGTGTCAGGGTTCATATGTTTGTGTATGGACACCAGGGGTCGACAGTGGGCATCTTCCTAAGTCATTCTCCATCTTACTCTTTTGAGACAGGGTCTCTTGCTAAACCTGGAACTCTCTGATTCAGCTAGACGGTGGCCAGCAAGTTTCAAGGATCCTTTCGGTCAGTTCAGGGCTGCAGACATGTGCTGCCATGCCTAGCTTTTAATATGGTCGCTGGGAACCAAACTCAGCCCCTTGTATGGAGTACACTTACTGACTGAACCATTCCTCCAGACCCAATAGGTATGCTCTGTGGGGTTGTTCTTGTCCTGTTTTGTCATTTGCGATCCAGCCTCATGATCTGCTTAGATTTTAAATGTCGCCTGAGTAAGGAAAGATAGTGACCACAAATCCAATGAGCAGTCACAGGCCTAATCTGAATATCCATGAAACCTCCATGCACAAGGGACATGCATGGGGCCCACATCCAGCTCAGGAAGACTTTAAGGTACCATTGAACCTACACATCCCTGCAGACATACGAATGGGCAGCAACCTGAAGAGCCTAGAGACAGCAAGGGTAACAGTCCTGGGTCAGGACCTGACACGGCCAGGCTGTAAGGTGAGGCCCATGGAAAGGGCAGGAAAAGCAGCGAATTCCCAACTTTCCTGGGAAGGTGCACTAGTCACCATGTGACACTTGAGCCAGGGCCTCATCTCTAGCTCTTTGGAGCCACTTATGGACAGAGGCCCCACTGCACCTAGGCCTCAGGCTTGTGACCGCAGTCTTGAAAGTATGAAAGTCGGGCAGTTTTCCTCCCATCATGCAGCAATGCAACGTTCCTTCCTCTGGGGTAATCATGACCTTGGCTCGCTTGCTTCCTCAGCTGCTATCCTGGCCCATCCATCATCTCCTGTCTGCTGGGTGTGATGGTCTCAGATAAAACTCGATGGGGCTACATTGCCAGCAATCCATCATCCATCCTATCCTCCTGGGTGCCAGATATATGTTGACAGTCTGATCTGACTCCAGGGGACAAGAGATTGAGATGGGTGCTGATGCAGCCCTCGGGCTTCTACTGGCAGCTCCCCATCTTCTCCCCTGCCCGGTGCAGGGCCCTCAGCTCTACCATTCCCCTTGTCTGATTGACCCATGTCCAGGCTGTGGCCCATGCCTGCTGTCTGCTAGAGGGAACGGGGTGGGCAGGCAGTGTGGGAGCAGAGGGAGGGAGATGGTATGGTGAGGCAGAACAGCGGCATTTTTTTTTTTCTGATTCGGTAGAATGTGTTGGCACTGTGATGGTGGAGTGAGGTGGGAGATGGTGCAACAACCTAAGGCAAGAGAACAGCAGTAGACACGTAGCCAGTTAGTGTGTTTCCCTCACAGCTCACAGGGGCGGGATACCTTTCTCTAAGCTGACAGTATTAGCTGGGTAGGGTATAAACCAAGGGTCTGGGGTCAAGGCTACACATGACCGGAGGTCACTCTGCCTGGGCCAACAATTTCCTGTAGCACCTTATGTGCCTTCAATGACATTCATTTCTTGGCACTATGATTCAAAGATACTTTGTTTTACAGACAGGGTCTTGCTGTATAGCCCAGGAGTCTCAAATGCCCAATCCCCCTGCCTCAACCTGAGAGCTGCATTAGCAGGCAAGCACCAGCATACCAGCTGAGGCTATCTTAATGATGGCTTTTATTTTGAAATGCCCACTGACAGAAGGTGTAAACAGTAATATTGAGAATGTTGATTTCTGAGCCACTAATTTATCTCTGGGAGTTACTGATACTCTAGATTTCATCTTTGGCAACGACCTGGAATTTTCTAGAATTGTCTGCAAATGAGTTCTGCTTTTCCCTGGGCCTGCTGGTTTTCTTCTCCTGATGTTACCAGCCTGTTTCTGATCAAAGAGTAAGGTCCCCATGCTGTGAGCGCCAGGTTTTGGTGAAAACCCTCAGTGAAGTAAAGGAAGTTCTTTCTGCTTCTAGAATGTCTGGGTTTCTCTAGTGTTTTAAGTGGATGCTATTTTTTTTTAAAGCAGCTTCTGCTGAGGGGCTCTCATGACCTGTCCATGATCTAACACTGGATACCAAGCCAAGTCAAATCAGAGCGCACTTGTGCAGGGGACGCCATGTGGCTGTGATGAGCACCCGGAGGGCTGAGTCACTCTGCTCATCTGACTTAGATAATGAGTTAGGATGCTCATCGGGACAGCAAACAACACACACAGAACCCCCATGAGTGTCTTCCACCTGGTGGAATTTGATTCGCTAACCTCTGGCCGTGTCTTGCAGTTGTGAATGAGGACGATTACTCTAGTTTCTTTCTCTGCTGACCTCAGGTCTGCAAGTCAAAGACGTAACTGCCTCCTAAGTGTGGGGCGTGCACTGTCTCCTACTTTCTGCTGGATGGAGAACAGGATGTCCCCTCATCGTCCACTCGGGAGAACACACTTCCTGCTGGGTATTTTCTTCCTCCCCACTCAGCAATCCCTCCTCCTCTGCCAGGCTGGCTCACCTGCCACTACAGCGGTTAGCTGTGCTTCTGTTCATTGGTTGTCTAGCTGCAGAATCACCGCTTGGTTTCATTGCTTAAATCCTCCACAAGGCCTTGATCTCTGCAGTTATTTTAAGGCCGCCTGCGGGGACCGCAGCATCTGCCTCTCTGGTCTGTTTCTGTTGTCTACCGCTGCCTGGGGCTTTCCTTTGCCCTTCACATCTTGTCTTCGAAAGTGCCTGTGGATAGAACCTGACATTCTCCTCCTCCCAAAAGGATTGGCACTCGTTCCCACCAGGCTGCTGGGGACACCAGCAGTCTCGGCCACGCGGGCCAGCCTATTATCAGCAACTGAGGCAATACAAGTTAGACTGAGGGTCTGCCCTGAAAGCCAGGTGTGCCCCACCAGAATCCACCCAGGGGAAAGGGGTCCACTGGGGCCTGGACGTTTTGCTGTCTGGTCCCAATGCTTACTCAACGAGCTGTGCAGGTGGTGAGGCCCCCCCATCCACAACCAGCCCTACAGAAAAGTGACTTCCATCGGGACCAACTCCCAAGTGTCCCTTCCTCACCAGAGCCTCCCTGCCTCCAGTGCTTCAACTGTCCCTTCAGGGGCTCCACTATCACCATGCCACTCCCTGTGCCCTGTCCCTTCTTGGGACTGGCTGGGAATTTCTCCTGGTTGTAATTATCTCTACCCTATCCATTTGGAAGTGATACTCTAGGCTATTTCCACTTCAGGCTGTCATGAACAGGGCCATCGTGAATGTGCACAATAGGTGTATGTAAACAGAGGGTATTCCTGGGATTACAATTGTGGGGTCATGTGGTACACTGTCACTAGTTTTCAGAACATGTTTTCTGGATATCTGACTCTGCTGAAAGCAATCACCTCCCAGCACTCTGGCTTCAAGGATTCAAGTCTGCTGCCATCTTACATTCTGCATGTCTGGGTGTATAGGACGCTTCTCACGGTGGGTGCTTTCCTCTCTGGATCCTTCTGTTACATAGGTGTGTAACCTCCAGCCTCCACGCCTTTACCTATATTCCCCACACAGGGCCATCTTCAGCAGTGGTCAGTCACCTATGAGGATGGTCACAAACCACGTCAAATTGTCTACTCCAGAGAGCTGCTCACCTCTGTTACCTCAGCATGATTAACCAGCCCAAGAATTCAGAATGCAGTGGTGTGAGACAGAGGCATGGTCATTTGGGACAGAAACTTTGGAGTCTTCCCAGGAACGGCATGAGCGTGACACTGTCAGTAAGGACAACTCTACTGGCGTTCACAAGCCACTGTCGTGACTCTTTGGAACTGCTTTCTCTGCAGAGGCATGGCCTTTTCCACAGAGCATTCTCCCAGGACCCCTGGGGTTGTACCGTAAGGAGCCTAAGCATTCAAAGAGGACGGGCTAGAGTGACCTTGCCTTAGATGGCTCCACCATGATAAAATGGGAGCCAGCTGTCCCAAGGGGTACCCACAGCTCTTGCTCCCTAGCAGTGAGGGCCAGAGCAGGAATTCCCTGGTAGCATGGACCTAGAAATGAGTAAGCTTCCCAGTACCATCCTGGGAATGGGCAACCTGCAGACATCCTCTCATGGTGCAAGCACACTGAACTCTGTGGCCATAAATACACTTTATTTCATTAGAAATGCATAATTACACTGTGGAGCACTCCCCTAGCAGCGGGTCCGCAGGGCTCCAGCATCGGCAGCTGGCTCCAACACCTACGTCGGGACCCTGGAGGGAGCACACGGCCAAGGCTTCTGCTACTCCACAGTTGTGTTTCTGTTGTGTGTGGTTTGGGTTTTTTTTTTTTCCATTTTCTTTTTTGTTATAAACACCATAGCAAATTAAAAAAAGCTGTTTAAACAAAATATTGTAGTTCTTGTTTTTCTGAATGTACTCAACACGTTCTGCACTATGCTTCTCCTCCAGAGACCAGCAGTGGGACTCAATCCTGAGGCGCCTTCCAGCAGGGGTGGCCAGGCCCTTCCCCAGGAGGAGGAGCTCTCTTGTGCCCTGCAGGATCCGCAGTTACCCTGCTGCCGCAGAAGAGCAGGGCACAGGGAGGATCAGTGAGCAGCTGTGGGGTGGGGCTCCTACAGCGCCTGGTCTCACTGGATCTGGATGGCTCCATGCTCAAGCTGCATTTCGGGCTGCAGAGTAGGCTGCAACGCTTCAGCCGTCTGCAAGGCGGGGGACAAAAGAAAGCTGTTCTAGAAAAACACAGCAGCACATTGTGTCAGCAAGCTACTTGTTTGTTAGCAGAACCACAACTTCACATACAAGCAGAAAACACACGTGTGTCAGAAGCTCCATGTGTGTCAGTCGACCCCTGGCCTGATGGGAAACAAGCAGACCTCACACCTGCCCAGGAGAACGTGGGCTACTGGGGCCAGACTGCTGCCAACTTTCCACCCTTACCTCAAGGTGCCCAGAGAAACCATGAGCCACGCCATGTTCCTAACCCAACATATTTGCCTAGAATTTCAGGGTCACACTGACTTCCTACAGAAACTGCCCCAGTGTTCTAAAGGGGCATCTTAGGACAGCTTAAAGAAATGGCACGGGTCAGTGATGTACATTAGAAACTATGCAGTCACCCTTTCAAAGTGTGAACTTGAACCCTGGAATGAGTCACTGATCTTCCATCTCAGCCAAACTGCAGGGGCACTGAAGGGTAAGTTCCCTGGGCTTTGACACTAAGTCAGGAACAGGGTCTGCACCACATGAGGCAGAAGTTTCACAGCTACATCCCCACAGCACTGGCACCCAACAGCTCTTACTGTACATCTAAGTATCTGGTTTGTAAAGACAAAAGACTTAACATACTGTCTCCTTTAAGAAGGGAGGAGAGGAGCTGGGTGCAGTGGCACACACCTTTAGTTCCTGTACTCAGGGGGCAGAGGCAGGCGGATCTCTGTGAGTTCAAGGCCAGCCTGGTCTACATAGTAAGACCTTGTCTCGGAAGGAAAAAAGATGGTTTGTTTCCTCTCCCCAATGGGGACCGCATGGCTGAGAATGTGTTCAGCTCACTTCTTTAAAAAACTAAATAAATAAACAGAAAAGGGAGGAGAGGAAGAGGATTACAGTCCGAGAGGAAGGATCTAGACTGCAGGAGCCTTCTATGAAGCTCTGTGCTCAGGAGGCAGAAGAGACCCTGCAGCTTTATCAGAAGTTTGCACAAGTGAGATCAAGTGGGAATCTGTGTGTAGGGCTGAAGGGAACAGTCTCTTGAGGCTTGACGGGGATTATGGCTGAGGCCTGCAGACTGGGAGGCCTTCACCTTGGCCCAACTTCCTTCTCTGAGAACCTAGAAGAGTCATTCCTAGGCTGTCAGGGAAGAAACCCCACAGTGCCCTCTCCTAGGATGCCTGGTCTGGCAGCTCCATAAGCCCTACCAATTCCTGAGGCAGACAGGCCTCAGCAGCTCCTAGAAGAAGTAAAATCATGATCGACCTACGACCAAGGCCTGTCTCTCAGGCTTGGGGGACCAGAAACTTCTGTGAAAGACTACACTGCTCACTATACCAGGCCCATAGCACACCAAGGAAGAAGGCCCTGCCAGAGCCAGCTGGAGGTAGACAGAGGAAGGCAGGGACTTGGGCACATGACACAGACTCAGACTGTGTGAGTCTTCCGCCCCCTACCACTGGCACCTATCCAGGCTGGACTGAGATCACATGAACTCATAGCTTCTGGCCTGTGGGATGATCTGCCTGGCAGATGACTATGACCTTCAACAGAATGGGCAATGAATTCACAGGAAACAGAAGCCCTGACTCTCGGCACCTCCAGGAGAGACTCTGTGGAAAGGGGGGAGGCCAGGGCAAGGAGGGCTCTGGTCTAGTTTTAGATCTAGATAAACATTTCCAGACAGGTATCTCAGGTAAGACACTGCAAACTGCCTTCACATCATGATTTCAGGAGTTTAGAGTTAACAGAAGACCCACACCTGAGCTGGACCTGTGTGCCTCCCTTTAAGGAATAACAGACACAGCCAAGGGCAGCATCTACTAGGGAAGCTTATGGAACTGTGCCTAGGAGGGACAGAGGACTCACCTGTGCTGCAGTTGTGTGGTCGCTCACAGGTGCCAGCTGGACGTACTGAACCTGAATGTCACTGCCCTGGAGAGGCGACCCATCTACTCCTGTAGCAGCAGGGTCCGAAGAGGCCACGGCTATGAGCTGAGCACCCTGCAATACCTGGGGTGGGGGACAAAGCCAGGCTGGTCAGTGCAGCTTGGGTCAGCCGACCCCCATTCTCTTCTGGTCCAGAAGCAGCAGGAGGCCCCAGGCCCACAGCGTGGATTTAAGTGCAATGTAGCCTCACTGCCCACTGCAGAGAGACACCTGGTTAAGTGAGTGTTGAGTTTTTGACTGCTATGAAATCTGCCACATCCACATATAGCCTTCTCGAAACATCCTTGTTACATACAGACATTAGTCTTTTAAAGCCTGTGTAAAAACAAAGAAGCTAGAACTTGAAAAGAGCTGCCCAGAGAAAACTGCACAGGCTCTGAAGACAGCAGGAGAGCTTAGCAAAACCCCCGGGTGATGCTTTAAATAGAAAATAACCTGGCTGCAGACAGGGCTCAAGGGTGCACTGCTTGTGTGTAAGCACGAGGACTTGAGTTTGGACCGTCAGCATCCACGCTGACGTAAGCACAAGTCACGAATAGTTGCGTATGTCTGTAACCCCCAGCAGGAAGACCACTGGAGCTAACTCATCAGCCAGCCTAGTCAATACAGTGGGCTCCAGGTTCAGTGAGAAACCTCATCTCAGAGAAAAGCTGAATACAGATGAGGACACCAACATCCACCTCTGCACATGCAAGCCCAGGCACACACACACACACACAGCCACGCACGCACGCAAAGAAAAGAAAGAAGAGAAGAGCTACACTATGCAGGGAGACTGGAGGAGTGACCAGGCTCCTAGGGGGGTGTGACCCAAGAGGACAAGACATCCAGGAGCAAGTAACTACAGAACATAACCTTCTATCCTTTTAGCTGTATCCTTCCATCATTCTGACCCTGGTTGACCAAGGACCCTGCCTCAGAATGGATCTGGAGGAGGGGACAGGTCTGGAGTGACTCCATTTATGGCTACCCTTCCTACTGGCTTACTTTCCACAAAGTCCACTTGGTGCTCACACAACTGGTCAGGTGGCTCTAGCGAGGCAATGCAGAGCCTCTGTCTGGTCACTCATAGTTGCCAGGAACCAAGGAGTCCTTCATCGGGGCTGTGTACTATTCTAGGAGGAAAGGGCAGAAGTCCCAGACATGAAACTCCAACAAGAAACACAACTGTCTATAGTAGAGACACCTTTGGCAAGATGGCACACCCATTCTGAAGAACAAAGAAGACAGTATGAGACATGGTTCCCTACAACCAGAGACAACAGTACAAACTAGCCCAGTGAACATCTAGAAGAGCTGTACTTGTAGACAGTGCTGGCTTGTCTGTCAGGTAACATGTGCCTTTTTAAAGGACACGTGCCAACCACATAAGATCAGGGTGTTTTATGCTAATGAGGGTCTGCCACACCAAAATCAACTCAGCTGTCCCCTCAGAAACCATGCTGGGTACCACAGTGTCAGTGTCAGGAAAGGGGTCTTTCATAAGGGCCTGGCCCCTAGTACTCCTCTGGGAGGCGGCCCACCTCCTCCTTGGAGAACACAGTGGCTGCTGGGCCCATCTCACTTCCAGTTTGATTCTGTTCACCTACAGAGGCCCTAAATGACTCTGCTCAGGGGGAGCCAAGAGACAACACCAACAATGACAACCTAACTGGTCTCTGCACAGATCTGGCTCTCATGACCCACCTTTCTGGACCTGCCTTTATGTCAACAATTGGGGACAGGAGGACAGTTTCCTTGGCCTCACAGGAGCCACACATCCTGGTCAGCCACTCTGTGGGCCATGGTAACAGGCAGCAGGATGTGCAAAATGAGGGAAAAGCAGGCCTTCAGCCCTCTCTAGATGCTCAAGGTCAGGCTAATTAAAAGGAAAAGGAGTGTGCAAACACACATCTGTATAACTGGTTTCCAGGCAAGTTCAAACTTCAACATAAACACTTGCTTTAACCAAAAATACCTCAGCGCTGGCACATCTCACATGCCTGCCCTGGCACAGCTCCTGCACAATGCTACTGCACTCCCGCCCTCTTCAGAGCGAAGCAGGGCAACTGGTGCTCAGTGCCCAACAGCGGGCTGACGGTAAACATACCTTCTTTTAGACAAAGCTTAGCCCCTTACAGGGGGAAGCCTGAATAGAGTAAGACGATCTGGTTTCTCCAGAGTCACTGACAGAAACCTCGGGCTTCCTCCTTCCACTCTGACTTACGGTCGGGCTCATTATTCCTGCTCAGAACTACGTTTCTCCAGCACTGTGCTTTGCTTCACTGGACCAAGCAGGTGAACTTAAAAGCAAGAACTTTATATTTAGGGGAAGAGCAGATGGAGCTCATGTTCTGGGGATAGCCTTTGGTGGTAGACCCCCCACCGTGTGAGCTGTCCTTGACCTCTCATGGGCAGCCAGGGTAGCTCAGGACCTCACTTCCTCTGCATTTACTCACCCACAGTATCTCCTGTCCTCCCCACTCAGCAGCTCTTGTGGATCTCAGTGGGTCCCGCATGCTCCTGTGCCAACCCTGTACCCCAACAAAACCATGCTCTGCAGAGGGGTGGACTATTCCCATGCACATCTGGTCACAGGAGCTTCCTGTTCTGACTGCAGGAGCATGGGGCCAGACAAAGAGGACAATATCTATGGCCCACTTGTGCCTGGCTATCTCCCCTGCAACTGCCTTAGGTCATCCAGTAGGGTACCCCAGCTAGAGGCAAGGGGTGGCTCCCCACGTGTCCCTTGCACAGCAGAAGCAGCCTTAGAAGGAAGGAAGGGACACTGACAACAGAACTGCTGCAACAGCAGCAGGAGGGCTCCGGGCTCATCAGATGGCCTGTTTTACTGGCCATTAATCAATCTATAAGCTTTTATCCCATCAATAGTTTCAAGTGTACCTGTACACATGTCTTCATACACATGTGGTCATACACGTGATGTGCACACGCAAGCATGTGCATATAAGGCATTTACCTGTTCACAGACACCTCATCAGCTCTGCTAAACCCCTAACATGTCCCTCCCCTATGGTGTCTCTGGCTACCAAAACAAGTTCTTATCCTCAGGCCTCTGTAGGCATGGGCAATAACAGTTATGCGGCAGCCTCTGCAAACCCGGGCTCATAGTGTGTGGCACTGTCTAACTTGCTGTAGGTTCTCAAAGGGCCAGATACCTGTGGTAAGCAGGCCCCGCCTGCTCTCCAGGGCTCTAACCTGACCCTTCTTCTCATGGTCCCTGGAAAACATTAGTCAGGCCACCCATATCTCCCAACAAGAAACACTTACAAACCTGGATCATCTCATTTCCAGCAGGCAGATCAAGTGTGTCTCCTCCCAGAGGCCAAAGCTGGGAGGGATTAGCCTGGGCCACTGAGTCACCGCTGACAGGAATGGGATTCTGGCACAGGCCCCACGACTGGAAGAGATCAGAATGGGGGCTATAGGCTTGGCAGTGACTTGTCAAGCCACAGACCCCACCTTGTGGGGAAGAGGTAGGAAAAGGGGAAGGTGCTAGCACACTGTGGCTGCCTGGGAACTCAGAAGCCAGGCCACCCTTGAAACCCCAAGTCAGGAGTTATAACATAACCAGTTTCCCCATCATGTTACACTTTTACAAATTCCTCCATAGTGAGTCTAAGGTAACTGTAGCTGCTTTTAATTATGGAACCTGTTTCCAGAAGGCTCTGCCTGTGTTCACTGCAACAAAGCAGCACCTTCCCTGCTCAGCACCCCAACAGTGCTGTCCTGCCAGCACTGCCAATAAAACCACCTTCTATATGAAACAAGAGGCTGGTCAAATCTGAGGTGCTGTACTGTAAGAAAACATGAATTCACAATATTAAGACAAAGGTGTAACTTCATCAATCAACCAATTAAAGGAAGCAGGATTCTCATCTGGAAAAAGTTTAGACAGTTATGGCTTTCAAAGACTAGAGCTACCAGGCCTGACTTGCAAACTGTCTCCCAGTGAGAAGCGGTAGGACTGGACCCTGGCTATAGGATCTGACCATGTCTGTTTCAATTGTGGGGAAGAACTGGTGAGCTGTCACCTTGGCTGGCTGCTGTGAAGAAGAAACTCGAAGACCAAGATTGTGTCAAGGGTGCCATCACCATGCTCACAGGGAGGGCACTTGCCTGGGAAGGCCTGGTCATAACTGAACTGTCCAGTTCTGGCCATGTTTCTTAGGCCTGCTCCTGTGTGTCTCTAGTTCACACTCAGAACTTATCATTCTAGTGACCAGTTCTCATTCAGCAACAGGAGCAGACATGCACCTGCCTCCAGCACCAAAAGAGGGAAAGCTCCAAGGCACGTTCCAGGCAGTTACCAAAACAAGCACCTTTCAGCATTATTAGCATGATGGCTAATAATCCTAGCACTCAGCAGGGAGAAGCAGGAGATCAGGAGTTCAAAGCCAGCCTTGACTACTTTAAGGGAGTTGGATGTCAGCCAGAGAGCTATATGAGACCACAACAACCCAAGTATGGTTCCACCGGAAATGCTACTCCGGGTAAAGGGTGACAGCCATGAGGACTGAGCATGGCGTGTTCATCCCAAGAGCTTCTTTGAAACACTGTAGCCTGAGCTAGCAGCCAGGGCAGGGAAAATGACATCTGGCATCTCTCCTTACAAAGGAGGCTGAGGAAGGTCCCAACAACAGCAGAACCCTTGCTCTGTGCCCGACACAGTAGTGGTGACTCGAGCACCCAGCAGGTACCTACTACAGTGTTGGAAATGCGTGGTGCATGTGTTCAGCCCTGCTTAGAGCCCCCACCCCCACCCCCACCCCGTCACAGCGCTGTGCAGAGTAGCGTGGGTGTACTGCAGTGAGCACAGGAAGGACTGCTGTGCCCCTGATCAACAGTGACCTGGTCTCTGGCATGTCCTGGCAGTGCTTCAAGAGGGCAGTGCAGCTGGAGGTTTGGCTTTAATGTTAATGGTTAATTTAATGATGAATGAGAACTGAAAGTCAACTCCCAGCTGCAGGATAGCAAAGATGAGCTTTTGTTGGGTGCCCAAGGTACATTTTGGCTGCTCAAGAAGACTGAAGACTCAGTCTGTTCTGAGGAACCCTTGCTGTGGTAGGCAAGAGTCTGACAGGCAGCAAGGCAGGTCACCACGGCATGGCACACGGCACATTTCCACTCTTCTCCCAATAATGAACTTTCGGGTCCTTCACTCTTCCTGCTCACTTTGCTGGACCAGAGCCCTGATCTGCAAGTTCTCCGAACAGGCTCTGGAATGTGGAGGTGTCTGACTGCAATGAAGTCAGAGCTGGCACCCAGGCCAACAGACAGACCCATCACTTCCATGCAGCCAACCTCTAGTGGACTTCTCAAGGGACAGCACAGACAGGCCAGAGACAGGCCAGGGAGCAAGCATGTGCTATACTCTCAGCTTCACTGGTAGCGGCTCCCCTAACACATTTTTGAAGCAGTAACTTTTCAGACATATGGAAATGTGGCAGAGGGCTCGAGTTCAGAGCAGGGCACTCAGAACAGGGAGCATTGTCCTTTGGAGCACACAGCATCTGGTTTTCCTCCATCCACTGCCAATACTGAAGCTCTACTTAAAACCCAACTGAGATAATGCAAAACTGGTGCAAACCCTAAAATCATGCAAGAAGCCCCAGGATCTTTCAGCAGTATCTACATATGAAACTAAGTCCCACCGAGAATCTACTAGGAGGCAAAACCAAACTAAAACAAAGGGAAACACTTGTGCCAGGGTCAGACACTCACTCGTGTTGATTAGTGTGTGGCCAGCCTGCCCACAACTGCAGAAAAAGCCCAAGAAGCCTCAACTTGTTTCTCTTACTCACTTTCTCCATCCAGACAAGGGTCTTTCCCCACCTCAAAGGGTGGCTTTCTCCAGAAGAACAATGAAGCGCTAAAGGACAACTATCCAATCACTGACTGCCCAGACTGCAACCATCCACAAACTTTCCAGATATATGAGACATTCCTATGACAAAAGTCAACTTATTCTGCACTGCTGCCCCTCTTCCGTGTGTGTGTGTGTGTGTTGTGAGCATGTTGTATGTTGTGTGCTCACGCATGTGCATACATGCTTGCCTACATTCACACACATTTACCAGCCAAAGATCAATGTGACTTGTTCTCCACCTTACTATACTGAGGTGAGATCTCTCATTGAGTCTGGGAACTGTTAATTCAGCAAGCCCAACTGGCCAGTAAGCTCCAGTTATCTGCCTCCCCAGGGCTGGAATCACAGATGTACACTGCCACACCAGGCTTTTTTATGTGGATGCCGAGGGTTGGAACCTAGGTCCTCATGTTTGTGTGGCAAGCACTTTACCAAGTGAGCCATCCCCTCAGCTAATAATAATTTTCTGGTCTCTGTTCTAGTTAAGGGTACTATTGCTGTGATGAAACACCACAATCAAAAACAAATTGGGGAGGAAGGGTTTACTTGGCTTACACTTCCACACTGCAGTACATCGCTGAAGGAAATCAGGACAGGAACTCAAACAGGGATGGAACCTGGATGCAGGAGCTGATGCAGAGGCCATGGAGGGGTGCTGCTACTGGTTTGCTTCCTCTGGCTTGCTCAGCCTGCTTTCTTACAGAACGCAGGACTACTAGTCCAAGGGCAGCACCACCCACAATGGGCTGGGCCCTCCCCCAAAAATCACTAATTAAGAAAATGCCTTACAGGCTTGTCTACAGCCTGATCTTATGATGATTCTAGCTAGCATCAAGTTGATATAAACTTAGTATTAGTAGCACAGTCGTGTAGGTCTGCCTGGTCTTAAAACATGGACAAGAGGGTGCTGGGATTAAAGGCATTTGTACATGCTTAGCTACGGATCCTTTAAGTCCTCTAGGGGAATTCTACCAAACACATGTCCTTGAGTTCCTGTGTGTGTGTGTGTGTGTGTGTGTGTGTGTGTGTGTGTGTGTGTACTGCATGCATGTGTTTGCATGGGAGAGGGTGGTGGCACACACACAGTGAGGCCAGAGGAGAGCATCACATGTTCTCCTCCGTGGCTCTCTGTCTCACTTCACTGAGATAGGGCCTCTCATCAGATGTGAATCTTGCTGCCTTCCTCCCTGGATTTGCACACGACAGAAATGACCCATTCCAGAGATAAGAGTTCAAGTTATAGAGTCACCCACTGAGGAAGCCATGTGCACTCTTCCTTCCTGTCCAAGGCTGGCAGATAAAAGTGCCAAAAGAGTGGGCGAGAGGAATGGGTGCCTCTGTGAATAAGGGGTCTTGGAGCTGGAGGGAGCCGCATGAAAACACACAGGAAGAGCGCCCTGCTGTGGGAGCAAGTCAAAGCCTAAGACTATATATAGTGGCTTTTTCTGAAGTGTATGTGGAGTATCTCAAATGTCAGAGGATCTCACAGCCCTCCCTGTCCTTCAGCCTAACAAAAACAAAAGAATCAAGATGCCTAGGACAGGAAAGACACTAGAACAGGATTGTGTGAGAAGCAGTCGGGGAGCTTGGGGCCCCAGCTCAGTAACACTTGGGGCTACCTAGGCTGGCGCCACCCAGGACTCTGGGTGCTTAGCACAGATGTTACCTTGTTTGTTATTCCGAGCTGCATTCTGCATGTTAGGAAACACAGCCCTACGCAGACTCATTTGCCCAAGTTCATAGGACCAATAAAACCAAATGAACAGAGGAGGCCTTTAAGGCAGTGTCCCAGCCTGCTGTGCTCCATGGCTGGAACCACCACTTGCCTGTGACAGGTTCATTAGAAAAGAGCAAGGGGAATGATGGCACAGCAGATGGCGGCCACCCCCAAAGTGGGAAACATTCACACCAAATTCCCTCTCCTTCAGCATTTGTTATGAAAGAAAACAGCCTTAGAGCTAGGACACCTACTGATGGCTAGCCTTTCCCCACAGCATGCTCCCCAGCTCTCTGGAGTGGCCCGTTGAGAGCTCAGATTAGGGGCCTCTCTGAATCACCCCTAAACAAGATGGTACTACAAGAACCAGTGTTTGGGAGCTGACCTGCTCCAGCTCACCATATGGCACGCAGGTACCAGGCCAGCCCAGCGGTCACTGGCTCTACCCCTTGCCTTGTGGGAATTCAGTACTCATTGCTTTTGTGAAACTGCTACCTCTCTTTCCTCTCGAGGACCCCATGCTCTTATTAGGCACATCACTATGACCTCCGTTTTCAACTGGAAATCCATGGATAACCAGACTTGCTGGTGCAGGCACACACACACACACACACACACACACACACACACAACCCCAACTACTCAAGAGATTGGGCGAGGAAGATCTTCCTGGACTACATGTTAAATCAAGTCCTGGGCTAGAGAATGAATTCAGGGCCAGCCTGTGCAACTTACTGAGATCCTGTCTCAAAATGAAAAACAACGTTAATCCTAACATTTGAGAGGCAGGGGTAGACGGATCTCTATGAGTTTCAGGCCAACCAGAATTACATAATGAAACCTTGTCTCAAATAAACAAAACAAAACCAAAACTGAAAAAGAGCCAGTTGCATACTTCAAAGTATATAACTCAGTGGTAGGGCACTTTCCTAACAAGGGCAATACTGCAGTGTCCAGTTTCTTCCTTCTTCCCTCCCCCTCTCTCTCTCTCTCTTTCTTTCTTTCTTTCTCTCTCTCTTTCTCTTTCTTATTTTCTTATTCTTTTGGTTTTTTGAGACAGGGTTTCACTGTTTAGCTCTGGCTGTCCTGGAACTCACTCTGTAGACCAGGCTGGCCTCCAACTCAAAGATCCACCTACCTTTGCCTCCCGAGTGCTGGGATTAAAGGCGTATGTCATCGCTGCCCGGCCCCAGTTTCTAGATAGATAGATAGATAGATAGATAGATAGATAGATAGATAGATAGATAGATAGATAGAAAGAAAGAAAGAATTCATATATACAGAGAGGCCCTGGCTTGTGGACTGTCAGCTTTAGGGTGGAATAAAAGTGTGCCCACATTACCACTGTTTTCCCCTTTGAGGCTGTCACCCTGTGGGTAGGGAGGTACCACACCCTAGGATCAAACAAGATTTTTTTCTCCTTTTTGGAGATGACCTAAATGTTCTAAATCGGAATTAGAGAAGACGTGAGCACATGCGCCTGTGTAAGCGCTAACCTGCAACACTAGTGCAGGCCGCACTCCTCACAAGGAAAAGGCTGAAAAGAATGGAGTGGAGCCTGTTTCCAGTGCTAAGATCCTGAAAGTGTGTTGTCCGGGCGGTGGTGGCGCACAGCTTTAATCCCAGCACTCGGAGGCAGAGGCAGGCTGATCTGTCAGTTTGAGGCCAGCCTGGTCTACTAGCGCTAGTTCCAGGACAGCAGGAGCTATATGCACAGAGAAATTCTGTCTTATAAAAAACTAAAACCTTTTCAAAAACAGAAAAAGCAGAAACTGTACTAAAAATGATAAAAATCAATCAAAAGTGATGCTGTGATTCCAGAGTTGCCCTTCGCCTGGGCTGACTGGAGTCCCTTAAGAGAATGGAATGTGGGATGGAGGTGGGAACGGGGGCAGCAGCAGTGTGGCCTGCCCTTGGGTATCTTTGGGATTATTATGAATCCACATCACCTTATACAAATAACACAGCCCCTTGAAAGCCTCGGTTCTAGTGACCAGAGGCTGAGACCATAAATATGAGTGAGCATTCCTCCAAGTTATCTTTTCAAACATGTCACAACATACTTCCCAGCCACAGACTGTGCCCAGTTTCTCATGGGACTCTGCCTGACTTCAAAGGCTCTTTGGTGTCACAAGCTGTAGGACACAGTACCAAGAAAGTTGCCAGGGGTGAAAACAAGAGCCCAAAGTAACATTCGGGCCTGAAACTTCCTTTTCCCTGCCCAAGTACAGCTCAACAACAGGTCTCTGTCTTTGGCACACTTGGCCAGAAGTCTGTCTGTTGTGGGATGTTTTTACTCTGTGTGAAGATGTATTGCTGTGATTGGTGTCATAAAAAGCTGAATGGCCAACAGCTAGGCAGGAGGTAGAGGTGGGGCATCCAACCAGAGAAAAGAGAGACAAAGAGAAGATGGACCTAGGCCCTGGGAGAAGCCAAGAGACATGGAGAGGAAACAGGAGGTGCAAGATGGAAGACAGGTAACGTCACATGATGGAAGGTAGAGCAGCATAAATGGGTTAATTTAAGTTATAAGCTCTAGTGGGGTAAACCTAAGCTAAGGTTGAGCTTTCATATTAACAAGTCTCCATGTCATTATTTGTGAGATGGCGGCCCAAAGAAAACTCTGATTACATCTGTCTGTCCAATTTACACAGCAAGCTTTTGTCTGGAAGCATCCAGCCACCCCCATACTGCAGGGGATGCTCAGCTCCAGAGGACATGGAGTTTGCTCAGCTGGAGGCGGGCACTTCAGAGATGTTCACAAGTTCGAGGATCACCTAGAACGAAGCCACTGGCAGTACTCCTGACTACCTGTAATCAGAGAGGCCTGTGCCACCAGGCCTGGAACACAGTTTGAGGGGTTTTGTTTTTTAAAGATTTACTTATTAAGAATGCAAGTGGTGTGCTGGGAGGCAGCAATTGGGACTTCTGGGCTTAGGATCTCCCACATACCACATTTGCTATCCTATCAGAATGTTTGGAGATTGTGTTATTTCTTTAAAAAAAAAAAAAAAGTTACTGAAAGTTTATTTATTTATTTATTGGTTTTTCAGGGTTTCTCTGTAGCTTTGGAACCTTTAATCCCAGCACTCGGGAGGCAGAGGCAGGTGGATCTCTGTGAGTTCGAGACCAGCCTGGTCTACAAGAGCTAGTTCCAGGACAGGCTCCAAAGCCACAGAGAAACCCTGTCTCAAAAAAACAAAAACAAAAACAACAACAAAAAAAAAAAAAAAAAAAAAAAAGAATGCAAGTGGTCTATCTGCATGTATGCCTACACACCAGAAGAGGATCTGATAGATCTCACTAGAGATGGTTGTGAGCCACCACGTGGTTGCTGGGAACTGAACTCAAGACCTCTGGAAGAACAGCTAAGTCCTCTTAACTGCTGAGCCATCTCTCTAGACCCACATATGCAAGTTTTTATAAAGTTCCTTTTTAGTCTTTAAAAATCATGTGTAGGCCTATGTATCTGTACGTGAGTATGAACATATGAATACAGGTGCCCAGAGGCCAGAAGAGGACATCAGATCCCCCAGTGACGCAGTTACTGGTAATTGTGAGCCAGCCACATGACACAGAAGCTGGGAACACTGCAAAGCAGCAAGTGCTCTTAGCCAGCCCCAATAATGTTTAAACAGGGTTCTAGTATAATTCAAGAATTATCTTCTGACTTATCAAGATGAAGAAAACATATTGATATTACAGCACAAATGTTGTTTGTCTGAAAAACTGGAATATCTTAGGCGACTAGGCTAAGCTGACAACAGGAGTCATCTATCACACAGTGGTTCACAGAGTGCGATGTGTCAGGACCAGTATTCAGGAGCCAATGTGGAGAGGGTAGAGAAGAAAGTGAATACTACTGAAGCTATAGTGGCGCCCATGCTGCCTTGAGGAGCTAGTCTGTAGTACAGCCAGAGCTAAAAGAAGAAACCTTGTCTCAACAACAACAACAACGACAAAAATTAAATAAATAAATAAATAAATAAATGAATAAATAAGTAAAAAGTCATAAAATATCTTCCAGAGCTTTTACAACTGAGGATGATGTCCTAGTAACACCCTTTCCACACACCTACAGGCAGCACATGCAGTCAGGTTTCAGGAAAACATTCCAGCATTTACACCAGAATGAAGGAAAACCTAAGACCAACTTGGAATAAAGGATCCAGAGCCACAGGCTCAATCCTCTTGTGGGCCCAGGAAGAGGACAGGTGACAGGGCTAACTGTCCCAAGCACAGGTCTGGTGACCTTAGCTCCACTGAGGATATCAAGGTAAATGGAGCATTTGTGCCTTCTGAACCATAACTGACGCCATTCTGAGTAAGGTTACTGAACAGACTCGAGAAACGGCCAGATGACGAAATAAGGACAGAATCTCAGCAAGTGGGAAGCAAAGACCACGTGAATGGGCCTGCAGAAGACAGCTGCTTCATGAGCACAGCTGTAGGTTCCCACCAGAAGGCAAGCTGCCTCCAGGAGAGAAGAGGATGCCAGCAGTGCCCTCTGATGTGTGGTCCCGGATACAGTGACACTGGGAAGCAGGGAATGGGAAGAAAGTATGGGGTTCACACGTGGAAAGAATCAGATGTACAAGTTATTTCTCAGTGTGAGAAGTGATCATCATTGCAGCTTCTTGCTGGGAGGTTGCTTAGAGCAGAGTGGGAAGTAAATCCTGGCTGGCAGCAGTGACTGGCTTTTGAGACACTGGGGACAGAGGTAGAACCAGGTGTCTGCCTTGGCAGCCTCACTGCCCCTGACTAGAAGCCTGTGGCTGTGATCTAAGCTGCCATGCCTGGAGTTAGACACTGGGCTCTCTGCCCTCAGGTTAGGTGGAGAGGCCAAGGATCAGGCAGGCACTTCTGCCTACCATCAGGCACAAGCATCATACACTGTGAAAAGCCCCCTGTATTTTTTTTTCAATTCCAGGTGGAACTTGATTCATGATAGAAACAGTAAGAAACTGAGGTAACAGGCTTTTCTTTCCTTGTCTATGAAAAGGTGAGATCTTCCCATGGAGAACCACCAACAAAACAAACACAAAGCACAACATCATAAAGAGCAGAGAGGAACCATCTACAAGGCTGAAAACTCCTCAAGAGGAAGGCTATGAGAACCAGCTTCTGCCACTTGCTCCCAACTGCACAAGCTTGGCAGCAATGAACAGGGTTCTCTTTAGCACAGGGAAGACACATGGGTCTTCCAGCACAGAAATGCTAGTCTTACAAAACAAGGAGCAGAACCTTGTATGACGAGTGAGTTTTGTGTGTCTCCACAACTTCTTAAGCTGTATTATACAAACAGGAACACGTCCTGACTATTCATAGGGACCCAGAGTGGAAACTATAACCTTCCCAAAAACCCCACAAAAACCCCACAGAAGTACAAATCCCCTCTGCCACCACCAGCTTCCCTGTAGCATTCCCCCCTGGGCACCCACAGCCTGGGACATTTCACTAAGCACAGAAGTCCTTCCAGGTATAAGCTCTCCTTATTCTCAGAAGAACCAAGCCTACCTTGTCCTACCTGTGCAAATGTCATCAGACTTTCAGGGAAAGTTGCAGAAAGCAATGAACTTGGCGGGAGTTTCTTCTCTGGTGCAAAAGCTAATGTGAGAGCCCACAAAGCGCAAGTGCGGGCCAGAGTCCACCTGCACGTACTCCTGGACACTTCACCGCAGCTGCCTCCTGCTGGACGCAAGCCCTCTCCCACCCTCACACCAGTGTCTCATGCTAAGGAACACAGACTGTGTGCAGGACATGGTGAGAAGGTGTGGATGGGGACAGGTGAGCACTTACCTGTCCATCCTGGCCAACGTGATGGATCTGCAGATTGCCCTGCAAAGTAAAAAAAGGAGACAGAGTGAGAATTTCCCTACACTATTCAGAAATAACAACTATTCAGATATAACTAAGTCTACAAAAACCCAACCCCTTTTAGCAATAAAACCCATGAAAATAAACCAAGTATTATAAGCTGAATCTTTTTTTTTCTTGTATTAAAAGCACAAAAGTTTAAGTCTGTTCCCAACTCTGACTCACAAATAAAAATGTCTTTATTTTTCCTTTTTATTTTAAACAACTGTAGATTCACAAGGCATGTACACAGGAGCGCAGCATGGCCCACAAAAGGCAGGAGCTATTCCCACCACTCTGGGCCTCCAGAGTCTCTTACAGGTCGCATTTCATATCATCATCAATTGTGAAAGACATCCCAGCCACCCCACTGAGGCAGACAGACTCTCTCCTAGAGCGCTCCCCAGGCTCTGCTGGAATGGCACTGGGTCCACACACTGAGCACATGATTGTGTGGCCTTCTGACCTCACAGGGTGACACCCGACTCACCTCACTGTCCTGTGTGATCTGCACCTGCTCTCCTTGAGGCACCTGGGCAATGTGGAGGTGACCCTGTGGGATCCGCAGCAAGAGAAGACACCAAGAAGCATCAGAGAAAAACAAACCAAAGGAAACAACAAGCACCCTCTGCTGACTTCATGCCTATCTGCTCTCAGCCCAAGAGAGGGCAGGGCTGGCCAGCTTGGTGCAATGTGTGCACAACCTGAGCTCATCCCACAGTCTCTTAGGGAAATGTTCATCACATGATTTATGTGATCTGCTGAACTTTAAATGTTACTTAAAAACTAAGAATGTGGGGGGTCACTGGGGGAAAGCTGGTAAGGATGGCAGGTGGGAGGGGTCACTTGTGAGCACTGCACTGAAGTGGAAACACTTCGTGTAAACAGTAACACATGTTGCTCCAAGTCTAGGGTCTGACTTCTATCAAAATCCTATGTGGAGTTGGAGAGATAGCTCAAGAGCACTTGCTCTTGCAGAAACTCTGAGTTTAGCTCCCAGCACCTGTGGGGTGGCTCACAATACCCCACAACTCCAGCTCCAGGGCATCTGAAGCCCTCTTCTGGCCTCCGTTGACACTCACATGCACAAATCCCCCACACACACACACACACGCATGCACATTAACTAAAACTAACTCTTTATTTTTTAAATCCTCTCTTAGCTCAATCAAGGTCTTGCAGCAAAGAACCTGCTGCAGGTATTGAGCTGCTTCTGCTTCACTGTGCACACATGCCAAAGGGATCTATTCCCAGTGCTCTCCCAGACTTCCCCACTGACCAGATGGCAGTTCCTGTTGATATCTAGTCAGTTACACAGATCAACAAGCCCGTGAAACCCACCACTTACAGTCACTACATTTCCTTTAAAATAGCCCCACAGCCAATGGACAAAAATACCAGAGTGATCCCAGAGCTGCCCATAGAGCTCCTTGCTCTCCAGCAGTTTCTGAGGTGCATACTTCCTGTTCTGCTGCTCCCTACTGTGTGCTCAGAGTATGCAGAAAACTCTGCCTAGCCTTTGTGCTGCCTATGGCTCAGAACAGAGCACCCTGACTGAGGCCTGCCTCTTCACTGAGATGAACCACAGGAGCTAGTGAATGTCCTGCAGGGATTTCTGTCACTAGGTTGCTCCGCAGCAGCCAACAGCCACGTGCAAGGTTGTCAGGCTACTTCTCTAAATGAAACACTTTCACCTCAAACTATCTGCCTGCTTTCTCCCCGTGCCAACAACACTCCCTCAGCCTCCTCCCCCCACCGCCCCAGACACCTGAGTGAGAAGGTACGTACTACTTGCACCTGTCCATCCTCTCCAATCTGGTGGATCTGCACTTGCTGTGCATTGGCCAGCGCGTAGTGTAGAGCCTGGGGCTGGGACTGCTGCAGCTCATTGGCAGGTGGAGGGGTACCCATCATGGTCTCTGTGGAACACAGGAGCAGGTGTTAGTTAGGACCCTTAGGTACCACATACAGAGTGACACGCAGTCATCTTGGCTCCCGAATGTCTCCCTCCCTCAGTTCCTGAAGAGGGAATGGACCTTGTTCCTAGACTCGGGTCAGCACATCTCTGCTCTGCAGAGATGTCAACAGCAAGTCAGGGGGAACTGAGTTTGTAGCTGAGGCAAGCATTGCTAAGATTCAATGACACTGTTGTAACAAACTTTTTCCTGCAAACACCTAAACAAACTACTGACCTACTGCAGGTCTGTCCACAGATATGACCACAGGACTATGCTTCAATCAAATTGCATCTACAACACATTTTATTTCTTATGTTAATTAAAGTAAAGCACATTTGGTTTGATATATGGTATGCTATTTTAATTGTAATACAAACTCTAATGACTTTTCTTCCAGTACTGGAGACTGTTTCTAAGACGTCCGGCATGCTACACGTGTGTTCAGACACTGAGCACACCTCAGCTCCAACTGTAATGAGACCAAAAGCAGAATTTCCTGAAACAGGATATTAGGGCTTAGATTTTTTTTTTCAATGTATATTATGCAGTTCCACGGCAGAGGTTTGTGGTAATTGGTCAGAACAAGCCTGCTGGGCAAACAGTGTAATGCCCTGAGCCTTAAGAAAGTGGACTGACATTACAAAGGATGCGAAGCAGACTCTAAAGAAAAGCTCAGCGTCCTTTCCACAGCAGCATCAGACTGCCATGTGATTTTAAAAGCACCATGACACCAATTAAACCTGTGGATTCACACACATGTACGGGCAGAAGATGGAAGAGCTGGTCCTCTGCCACTCTAACCTACTGGCTACTACACAGATGCTGCTTCACACGTCCAGCACAGTGAAGTTCACACCGTGCTGATTTTCAGAAACTAACATGAAATGGACTCTGTGGTTTGTATCCAAACTGAAAGGGCCTAACCCATCATCAAATAAACTAGCTTTTAAATTAAATAAACTGGGCATACTGGCATACCCGTGAGCCCAGCATTCGAGAGGCTGAGGAGGAGGGTCACAAGCTGGAAGTCAACCTGGACTATGCTGCAAGGCCTTGTCTCAATAAACAAACAAACAAACAAACAAACAAACAAGGAATGAAGACACAGCTCAATGGTAGCACAGCAGCCTGGCATGCATGAGGTCCAGGGGCTCAGCCCTAGCACCACCAAACAAACTAGCTAGCTGTCTTGGTTACTTTTCTATTGCTGAAGAGCCACCATAACTAAAGCAACTAGTAAGAGAAAACATTTAATTGGGGGCTTGCTTGCAGTTTCAGAAGATGAGTCTATGACCATCAGGGAGCAAGGCAAGCAGGCAAGCAAGACATTGGAGCAGTAGATAAGAGCTTACATCTGATCCACAAACACAAGTCAGAGAGAAAGAGACTGAGCCTGGCATGAGCTTTAAAAACCTCAAAGCCCACCCCAACTGACCCATCTCCTCCAACAAGGCCACGACTTTTAATCCTTCCCAAAACTGTAGACCAACTAGGAACCAAGCATTCAAATACAGGCGCCTATGGGGGCCATTCTCATTCAAACGACCACGCTATCCTTGGCATAAAACTCATACAGGGCCAGTGAGAAGGCTCAGTAGGCACCTGTCACCAAGACTGCTAACCTGAGTTTGATCCTCAAAATCCAAACAGAAGGAGCGAACCTATTCTGGCAAGATGTTCTCTGCCCTCCGCTCACGTGCAAGCCACATGTGCTCTCATTACCACACCTACCCGACACACACACACACACACACACACACACACACACACACACACGGGGCATGCACGTGAAAATACACATACAAAGTAAACAAAATGAAATAAAAGATGAAAACTTATCTACATAAATATTTTAAGGAAAAAAAAGAAATTATTTTGCAGTATTGTGTGGTGGTCCCTTGTCTCTCCACTAACAAGTCTAAGGTAACAAGGCAACCCAGCTGGAATCAATACCAATTCCAAATTAACAGGATTCTGGCTTAATTACATTTTACCATCACCAAAATAGCCTTGAAGACCAGAATAGCTTTGCTAAGCCAACAGCAGATGCAGACAGAACAATGACGAAGATTCCAGAAGTCCCTTTCCTAACCACCCACCCTGTTTAATCAGATCTAGGCCAAGAATGTGGCGTGTAAGTAAGGACAGACAGATGTCTCATCAGTTTACAAAGCAGGGCACTGTCACAAGACCCCATGGATGCTGAGTGGCCAGAAGAGCCGAAACCCAGGCTCTCTTCTGAAAGCAATGGCCAAACCAGTCACGGCCTGAAACTATATCTACTATATCAGAGGCAGCTCTGAGCTCGCCCCAAAGCCACGGGAAAAAGGTTACAATTACCCATGCCTCACACACCCCCATCCCCATGAACAGCATCCTCCGAGCCACAGGTTCTTTTCTACTCCAAACACAAAGAGCACAGCACAGGGCTGGCACTGCTCTCACTCTAACGATGTCCACTGGCAGAAGGACAGAGACCACAGGTCAAGCAGAACAAAGAACAGCCACCTGGCAGAGCCTTCTGGGAACGATGCCTCGGTCAGACCAGCACACATACTACAGGGCATGTCCATTCCCCAACAGTCAGTCACCCTGGGAGGGGGGCACTGACAGCTGCCAGGGCTTCTCAAACATGACATTCCTGGGGACCTGCCCAGATTTGGGGCACTTAATACACTCCACAGTGGCTGGCTGCCCACACAAGAAGCCAGCATTCACAGCATCTTAGAGAAACGCTAATATGCTCATAAACGGAGCAGCAATAGGTAGTAAAGAAAATAGCCACCGGTGAAAAAGAAAAAAATTAAAAATTAGAAAAACGGAATATAAATATCATCATGCTAAGCCACTGTCGAGCAGTAGAAAGAAATACAAGTAACTAGAAGAGCCCAACCACTAACGAGTAAGTAAGCCTGACAGTGACAGGAGCAGGAGCCACAGAAACAGGCACATGCGCTGAGTCTCAATCAGGCTTGCCAGCAAAGGGGGTGCCGGTGGCTGCGGGTTAGAAATGTGGAGCTTCAAGCCACTCCACTCTACCTGAATTAGCACATGATTCCAAAACAGCACACCTCCACCTGACAACCTGGGCACCTGTGCAGGGAATGCTCTAATGGCTGGGATATGTATGAATGGAGCCCCGACCTGCTTTTTCTATGCCAATCTCTTGGTGCCCACACCTCTGAAGGCAGTCCAACTCACCAATGCCACCACTCCTCAGCTCCTTCATGTACACTATCAAACACTGACGGTTGGAGTGTCTCATCCTTCTGCTCAAGTTCCACTGTCACCACACACATTGACTTCTGACAGCCTTCACACTGCCCTGTGGCCATGGGTCAGACCATCACTGCGGTGGCTGAGGCAATGCGGACAGTGCCCTGTCCAGCGGCACGGGTACCAGGGCTCAGCATGCATCTGAATGCAGCCGTGGGGCCTCCAGGCTCACTTTTCTGGACTGCACATGTACCTGGCAGGCTCTCTGAGCACGTGTACTGCTACAGAACTGTCTCTTTCCACCCACCCTGTGCTCGTCACTAAGTTGGCAATACAGGCCATGACATCACACTGTGTCAGATTCAGGGTGAGACCTGGCTCACTGGGAACCTGTCTAATAAGCTCTACTTGACTGTAATTCCTTTCAAGTCCTAACTAAACAGCCAGTTTCAACGGCATGAATACCTAGCAACTGCTCCTTCATGTTTCCTCTCTAACTCTGCTTGACCATTTTTTGAAACTCATTTCTTTCCTTGCTGCTACATTTCTGTTCCTCTTTGAAGCCCTTGAGCACAACTTTAACAACATTTTAGTGACATGGGCTGTTAATTCCAGACTGGGTCTCCTTAGACACTAGGTTTTTTGTTTGTTGGTTGGTTGGTTGGTTGGTTGGTTGGTTGGTTGGTTGGTTAGCTGGATCTGGGTTTTGTTTGCTTTCTGTTTTGGTCATAGGTCACATTTTCCTGTTTCTTGGTACCGTATCCGAGATCTTGTAAATGTTCCCAGATTAGGTGTCTGGATTTTGTCTTCCTATTAAAGTGCTGATACCTGTGGGCCCAGTGAAATCTTCTCAGGTTGTCTTTAAGTTCTGGCTTTACATGGTTGGAGGGATGGCTCAGCAGCTAAGAGTGCTGGCTGCTCTTTCAGAGGACCTGGGTTCAGTTCCAGCACCCACATGGTGGCTCCCAACTATCCATAATTCCCAGTTTCAGGGGATCTGATGCCGTGGGGAAGTAGTCTTGTATTGTTTTAAAAGAATGCTGATTGGCCAGTAGCCAGGCAGAAAGTATAAGTGGGGTGACAAGAACAGGAGAATTCTGGGAAGAGCAAAGAGTCAGCCTGTAGTCATCATCCAGATACAGATGTAGCAAGATGAGAATGCCTTGCTGATACTACCAAGCCATGTGGCTAACAGACAAGAATTATGGGTTAATGTAAGGTGTAAGAGTTAATAAGAAGCCTGGGCTAATAGGCCAACTAGTTTATAATTAATGTAAGCCTCTGTGTGTTTCTCTGGGACTGATCGGCTGCAGGACCAGGTGGGACAGAAACCTCTGGCAACAATCTGATGTGCTCTTCTGACCTCCTCCCTCTAGCACCAGACATGCATATGCTGCATAGACTTACATGCAGGCAAGAGACAATACACATACACACACACAAATAAACAAACAAACAAATCTTTTTTTAAAAAAAGTTTTGTCTTTACTCTGGGGAGAGCCCAGCCACGGCCCTCTAGCTCTCTCAAAAGTTGGACCTGTATCCACGGCTTTTTGCTCTGGTTGGTGGGCATGTGGACACCTGTTCCACCCAATGGCAGCTTCGGTACATTGGCTAAGATGTCCAGCTGCTACACATGGCAGGCATGGGAAACCAGCAAGAATCCAAGGGGACTCTGTGTGACTTGGAACCTCACTTCTAGTTTCACCAGATTCACTACTTGGGCTCTCCCAGCACAAGTCTGCCTCCTCGACTCCTAATTCAGCTGTGCACTACCCAAAAGCCCCTTGCTGCTTCACATTCCAAACTGTGCCTTGGGAGGCATGCTGACTGAGGACAGGCATGCCAGCTTCTTGCTCTTGGGGCCACAGACCTAGGCTTTCCTGTCTGCACAGCAACTTTCTATAACAAGGCTCATCCCAGTGCCCAATTCTGCAACCCAATGAAAGCAGAATCTCCTAAACTTTAAACTATCATACGGATGCAGAGCTCATGGACAATAACACGGGAGCCACAGTAAGAAAGAGCTGATAAGCCACTGCCAGAGCTGCCACCATGAAGGTGCCATTGTTCAAGTAAGAAAGGAGCAAACCACAACCAATGTGGGTTGACAGCAATCAAGAGTTAGTCTTAAGATGCGTTTGACCCATTCAACAACTGCGTGGTACACACACATGCACACGCACACACCCTCAGCCAGATATAACTTCACCAAGCACATTCCACCCATGCCTAGAGGCTCCCTCAGGTTCCCAGGATAGAACTCAAAACTCCTCATTCTACATGGGAACAATGTGTGTGGCCCACACAGCTGCCATCTTAGGAACCTTGGCAACAGCTAGAGCCAAGTATCTGATAACCACCAAAATAAGGGAGGAAGAGCACTTTCTGGAAGGTGGTCAAGGAGGGCTCCAGGTAAGCAGCTTTGTAGCTTTCAAAACAAAGTCCCTGGACAAAGCCTGTACTGAGAGGGAGCCCTGCCAGCCCCTGCCCACTGCTGCTCTGGGTCCTGAGCCAACCCCAAACAGGACTCAGCTTTCAGGAGCACTGCTATCGCCAAGAAAGCTGTGAAAAAGAGGCTAAAAGACTGTTTTAGGTGAGGACAGAGCTCAGTGCAAAGTACCAGAGCCAAGACTGCCCGAGGCCCTTGGGCACAGCCCTAGCACTAGAGAAGAGAGGAGGACAGGCCCATGGGCAGAGCTTGGAGAATCTGTCTTGGGGATCTTGAGGACAAGCCTGAGTCTACAACCTCAGACTAAGAATCAAGAGCATAATGTGGGCCTCCACCCTCACCTACAGCCACTCGGCAAGCAACAGTAACTACTACTAAGGTTGTAAGACACTCAGGAGATGAGTAGCCAGACAACACAAGGAAGGTCACACACAAATCCTTCCTGCTGGACCTACGGGGGAAAATAAGCAAGCCTCACACTGAGTGGGGCCAGAGCTGTCGAGCTCTTGCATGAGAACAAAGGCTTCAGGGCAGCCTTCTTCTGAGCATACCTGAGGCACTGTATGAGGATGAGGACGGCGTCCTCCGGGAGAAGCTCTTGACCGCCAGGCTCTGGCCTCGCTGTTTCCGCCGCCATGCTGTACGGCACTTGGAGTCAATGCTCTGCTTGATCCGATACCAGTCAGATTCCGTGATTCCAAATTTATAGAAGAGGTGACCTGAAAGAACGTGTCCCAGATAAAAGCTATCAGATGCAGGCTTGACCTAGGCTTCCCCTCTTGAGAGCTGAGTGCTGCAAAGAGACCCATCTGACCTGCTGGCCTACTCCTGGAAGGCTGATTTTCTTCCAGAATTCAAGCCAGAAAATCTAACTGCACAGGGAAGAGTCACTCAGGTCACTGGGTCTGCAGGGCCAGGCGCAAATACTTGTCACTCTTCTTATTTATGTAGCCACGAAATAACCCAACTTCACCCCAACACCAAGGGGACTCCATTTCTCCAGGCTCCAGAGCCTCCAACTTCTCTTCCCCTAAACTCACAAGACAGCACACACCACCCGACTGCCTAGGGGATCAAATGGAGACTTCGCACATTACTCCTGCTAGAGCTGTAGTCCCGCCCACCCACCTCTGCCCAGACCTGTCAACAGTACTCTGTCCTCCCTCCTCATCCAAGCCTCCCCTCAGCACAGTATGCCTGCTTTCTAGAACACCCATCACTTCTCTGGATTGTAATACATGAACATGTTGTAACTCCTTCTCCCTTATAAATGCAGGGAACTTGGTTTTTCTCTCTGTGCTGTAACTCAGAAAACACTGGTTATCTGTGCAGTGAGCAGCAGTTATCTGGAGCTATTTGGCCAGTGCTCTTTGTCAGATGCTTGCTCCTGTGTTCTTACCAGGCTGTGTCCCAGAACAGAAGTTCCGTGAGCACAGCAACTACTTACTCCCTGGAGTACTACCCACAGCCCACCATGCACACCCACTGGGACCCAGACTGCTGATCCTTACGTGTACAAAGCACACCAGGAGCATCACTGAGCAGCATGCAGATACTGACACTCAGCAATCAGGAGATCACAGACACAGAAAACATAATAGAGACGATAGACTATTCTAAGTCTGGCTCCGTATCTCACTAGCCCATGTGACTCCCCTCCCTTTTTTCTTTTTACAACTTTTTTTTTGTATTGCTACTTCTTGGACTTTGCCAATTAAAAAGAGTGTATGTATATGCATGCATGTGCACAAATGTTTCTGTGCATGTGCACTTGAATACAGATGCCCACAAAGAGGTCAGAGTCACTGGCTCTCCTAGAGCTGGAGCTACAGACAGTTGTGAATCACTATTGTGGGAGCTGGAAACCAAGCTCAGGTCTTCTGAAAGAGCAGTAAGAGCTCTTTACCACTGGACCATGTTTCCAGACCATGGCCCTTTCTTATACCCAATGGCAGCAATGGTGGTGAATGACACAAGACATTCTCTTCAACAGTGACCTCTGTAGCTGGTTCATGCAACTTCACTGATTAACAGGAAAAATTTAAAACTATAATAATAATAAAAATTCTAAGTTAGAAAATTTCCTGTTTTGACTATTAAAGCCACTGAATTTGGATCATATCTGAGAGCTAAGTTACCACGCAAACTCTAAAACTGCTCCTATGGATACAAAATACAAGAGAGAATGAAAATAAAACCTTTAAATGCTATATTACGTATCAGGCATTAGGAAATGCCTGACTCTTCTGTGAGCACATGATCCGGAAACAGCGACAGCCAGATCTGTGATCTGGAAGGAGGCTGGACTGCGGAGAACACCACATGGGACCACTTTCCACCCTCCCTCACGAAAGGGAATCTAGGTGTGAGCTGGAGCACTGGTCTCCTAAACAGACATGGAGTTAGTATTTGATACAGGTGCTGCGTGTAGCTTTAAGTATGAGTAAAGGACTAAGGCACACACTAGCTACCTGGCCCCAGTCACAATCACCACAGAACCCACTATTGACCAATTACCTTATTTGATGCACATCTGACAGCTTCATGAAATAAGAATGTCATTGTCCTTGTGACCATTTAGAAGCAAAAACTAGGGACAGGAAAGTAAGACCAGCCTCATAGTATAGCTTCTGGCTATCCGCCTATGCATTCACTTTCATCACAACTGAGGTGAAAACCTCAGCTGAAAACAAGGAAAGCCTGCTGCTCCACCCTGCTCAGAAGGCTACCCTGAGGTCTGGCAGTAGAAACTTGGCTCAAAACTAGAAGCCCTTGGGGCTGGAGAGATGGCTCAGTGGTTAAGAGCATTGCCTGCTCTTCCAAAGGTCCTGAGTTCAATTCCCAGCAACCACATGGTGGCTCACAACCATCTGTAATGGGGTCTGGTGCCCTCTTCTGGCCTGCAGGCATACAGACAGAACACTGTATACATAATAAATAAATAAATAAATATTAAAAAAAAAAAAAAACTAGAAGCCCTTAGCTGAGTCCACACACCTTTAATCCCAGCACTCAGGAGGCAGAGGCAGGCAGATTTCTCTGAGTTTGAGGTCAGCCTGGTCTACATAGCAAGTTCCAAGACAGGCTCCAAAACTACACAGAGAAACCCTGTCTCAAAACAAAACAAACAAAACAAAACAAAACAAAAACAAACAAACAAAAAAAAAAAAAACAAAGAAACCAGAAGCCCTCAGAAGAACAGGAACAGAAGCTTCCAGTCGCCGCAGTGTGGGTCACCTGTCGCCCAAGGAGTGAAGCACTTACTTAGTTCACAGGAAGGCTAAGGTCAAGGGCACACCTGCACCAAGCTGTGGAAGGTGCCCCAGCATGCTCACCCAGTAGCAGAGCCAGGAAGCTCACATCATTGCTAGTGGCCTTTCCACCCTCCAGAACTCCATTGCTGACTCTGAAAACCATAAAAGCAGCTACCCAGCTCTCACACAGTGAACCGACACAAGAGCCTGCTAGGAGCTGTGGGAAAGGCAACAGACTAGAGGGAACAAATGGAGCTGCCCCTCAGTGGGTGGCATATTTCATTACCAGTCACAAAGGAAGGAGGACACTACCACTGCTAAAGTAATCTCAAGTCCAAGGAGAAACCCATGCAGGAAACCGCAAGCCAAGAACTCATTTTTTTCATAATAGATAACAGCAGCTCCCCCAGAAAACAACAGTCACCACCCCCATGGACAGGAAGGAGCACTGAGCTGGGGAGCACTCTGAACAGGCCCCACCAAGTCTCCCAAGATCTCCTGCCAGGCTTCCCTGACTCATCCTGACCCATACATACTTCCTGACAACTCCTCTTCCTCCTCTTAGTTTGCAGTCTTTGATGGCCATTCTAAGCTGGGTCCACAGCACAGTGTCCAATCCCTTCTGAGAAGAGGTCTCCCACCTGTCTCTCCACACAGCTACCAGCTCACACTGACCAAACTCTTCTCTGGCTCTCTGGTCAAACTAGTGCTCTCAGTATATCTCAAGACCCCTGCCCGAATGGCAGACCAATGCCACACATCGGTTGGATACTAGCATGGCCTGTATCCAAAAGACACTCAAAGGCACTCAAAGTCACACTACTGCCTTTCTGCACACACTTTCACTGATGACTCAAATCCTGGGGAGCTAACCAATCCTTAGCAAACTCAACAGGCTGTGAAGATGGGACTTAGAGATGAGACCACAGCTAACAGGACTAGACGAATAAAGCCAGCAGCAGGAATTACCATGAGACTCCGAAGTTTAAGGCAATACTAGACAAGTTGAGGCTTGGAGAAAGATCAAAGGTGAACAATCTTTTTTTTAACACTCAATGATTCCTTGTGAACACTAACACTACTGACAGAAGGGCTGGGGGAGGAGGCTGGGTAGATATGGCCCCATCAGTAGCCTCTAAAGGTGGGTCTATACCCAAGGGAGGAGTCTGTGTGGTGCATCCAGACCTTGACGAGGGCCCACGCAGATGGAAGAATGCCAGCAATTCACCCAGTTTCTGTTCCTATAAAGCTAAGGCTAGTATGGGGCCCAAGGCCATGGGCCATGGTTCTTATTCACAGCCTACATTCCTTCCCTCACACACGGCCTACAAATTTGGCTGCCAAATGAACACAAGTGCAAATCATGGTTTGGGGAAGGCAAGGCAGACTCTTAGGCAGATGTCTGTAGGCTTAGCATCCTTTTCTCCCCAACTCACCACAAACCTTTAGAGCTAGGCCATGGCATCTAGTCTAAAATATGGGGCCCACTGGCTCAACACTCTGAAGCCCCAATGCCAGTCTCTCTGTCTAAGGAAGGTTACCTTCTGTGGGATATTTCATAGAGCTATGGTTCCTCTGGCCCCAGTACTTCCCCATGTTGCTGACTCCTCAGTAAGGACAAAGAAGCTGCCCCCTCTGAGATGATGGAAAGGCCAAAGGTGTGGCCCCAGTGAAACTAAACACACAGACAGCCCAGGAATCATCCTGCACATGAGCAGAGGCCACCACTTGCCAGTTCATTCCAGGTAGCTCTGGAATGAACAGTCTAGGAGGCTGGATATCAGACTGGTCACTGATGAGGAGCCTGAGCTTCTTACAAGCTTTCCAAGTATCACCAGGATGACACAGACAAACAGATTGAGCAAGTGGTGTTCCTCAAGGAAAACCCACCAAGACCGTGTAGGGTGATAAAACTGGTCCTAGAGTGCTACTGGCTTCCAACACAGCCAGGTCAGCTGATGAGCAAGCACGGTGCCAAGGCCAAGCCGTCCCTGAACAGACTCCACTCATGCCACTGGGCAGCTCAGGAGCACTGTGCCAGTGGGCAGCAAGGAACCCCACCTCTGTTCTCTCTTCTTCAAGACCATCCTAAGGATGACTGACACTGGGATCCGCAATTCTTTGGAGTATATTCCCAAGTGCCACTCTCAGCACAGGGTGCAACACAGTATCCTGCCAAAGCAAAATCCTGGGTCCAGATCCCCACCTCTGTGATAATCACTAGCGTGGCATCACCCCCAGCACTGGAAACATGGTCTAAATTCAGCTCCCTGACCACCTCAGCAGCCCCACAAGCCTGGCTGTTATTAGCTGTATAACTTACACCGGATGCCATAGATAGTGAGGGGGTCCAACTGCTTCTTCCCATGCTTGCCCTGGCCTGACAGGTTGGACACAGCCTGCACCTCCCGGTGGAACAGGTAGTCCAGCAGCGTCAGTGCCATCTTCTCAGCCGTGCGACAGTTGGTGCTGATGTGCAGCATGTCGGAGGGGATGATGGCACAGCGCACCCGCATCTCAGGGTTGTTCTCATCGCCCAGCCAGGTGCCATTGGGATAGTCCTCTGAAAGAAGAGAAAGGTGTCAGTTAGCAAAGCTCAGAAGCAGGTTCAGACAGCACAGCACACAGTTCAAATATAAGCTCCCTGGGACTGCTAAACCAAGCTCCCAACCTTCATCTGGTTGCCAGGAACACCAGAGCTGAGATGTAGCCAGTGCTGTTAGCCAGTAGCAGGCCAAGCCATCCTGAGTATAGACGATGATGATGAGAATACAACAAACAAGATATGGGCTCAAATAACCGGACCCTCTTGGGATAACAAACTAAAACTGAAATCTTAAGTGGGGACAAAGATGCTGGTGATGCAGAGTCCAAGCACTGCCAGTCTCCAGGATCTATGAGCCCAAGTCATCTCTGATCACGCTCCAGTCAGAGTCGTGTGTACCTCTCCCAGCCAGTTTCTGCCAGATCCCTTTATCACAATACTATCTCAAAACATCAAAAAGACAGCAGGGCAGGGTAGCACAAGCCTTTAATCCCAGCACTCAGGAGGCAGAAGCAGGCGGATCTCTGTGAGTCCGAGGCCAGCCTGGTCTACAAAGCTAGTTCCAGGACAGCAAGGGCTGTTACCCAGAGAAACCCTGTCACAAAAAACCTAAAAGGGAAGAGAGGGAGGGAGGAAGGGAGGTCACAGTGAGGCATGCTAGCAGGATGGAGAATGGGCATGAACTTTCAGCTAGAGCTAAGGATAGAAATAACTGAACCTTGGAATTTGGAACAAGATGAATAAATAATCTCTTTCTCATTGGTATCAATGGTACATAAGTGGAGAGATGGTTCTCAGAGACAGATCCTGTTCTGGAAGTCACTCAGTCACTGCTATATCCAATATGCATATAAAAAAATCCAGTGGTATAGTGGCACATGCCTGTAATCCCAGAACTTGCAGGGTTGAGAAAGGGAGGTTATAAGATCCAGACCAGCATAGCCTACATAAGGAAACCCCATCTCAACAATCAACAAAAGTGGAAATGATCTGAAGATACATCACGAAACTAACAACATACTGTGTGTACAATCCGCTCTTAAGCAGGAAGTTAAGTGAGCTAAGCAAGAAACACCAGTGGCAGCAAGCACGGCAGGCAAGCATAAGAGTGCTATGTGGGGTGAGGAAAATCATCTCAGGCCCAGAGAGGCCTACGCCTGCTGTCATCAGTGATACAGGGGACCAGCAGGAGGGAGAACTACCATGCCTGGGGCTCTGCTGGAGGCCAATGACATATGTCATTCTCCAGTAGAAGGGTAATTTAAAAAAAAAAAAAAAACTAGAGAAGGTGTGATCCATGGAGGCCTCAGAGCTGTCCAAATAATCCAAACCTCAGGTCAGTTGACTACCTGGGGTCAGCCTCAGCCTCCTACAGGTAAGTTCTCAGACAACAGCCTTGTAGTCATGAACTAGTGTTAAGTATATTTTCCATCCATATGAAAAATTAGTTCTCATCTTGAATTTGTAAAGCCAACCCAAACAGTCTGCCAAATTAAGGCACATGCTTCATGAGACACTAGTGGTTCCAAAAATGAAGATAACCAGAATGAAGTCCCATGGAACTTACCAGACAAGAAACAAGAGTCAGCATCCACTGTCTTCCAGGCCATACTGCCACACAAAGCCCAGAATGTTTTCAGACCCAGCCAAGAACTGATCGTATTTATTTAACCCAGTTCTTCCAGCAAGTGGGCAAGAAGAGCCTCTTTATAGTCCACCTTCTTGTACATTTATAAGCATCTACCCCCACACACACAAAGTAGTCCAGAAGCACCCATGGAATATGGGTGACCTCTGCGTCCACACACCCATTCCTGATACCTGCAGCTAGACTCTGAGATGCTCTGACATAATCCCCATCCCCATGTGGGTGGCTAAGTATCTAACAAAGTTCCACATGGGAAAGGAAAGCAGAAAGAACCAAGGAAAGACCAGCCACACGCTAGAGGATAACTTTAACAGTCATATTTCTATGGTAGAGAAGTGAAAAATTTTTGAAATTCATTCCATAAACTACAAATTTCAATTTAAAAAAGGCCTACTCCACCATTTTCTTTTCAAAAAGGTTTTTGGTATGTATGATTTTTCATTTTTCTTTTTTTAGTAGGCTATTTTAGATCAACAATTTTATTATATAGTTATGGTTTCTAACCAGTAATGCACAAATATTTCTTAGCATATGAAAACTAACCACAACCAAGAAGGACTCTGCTACTCTATACCATGTGGTCATTCCACAAGCAAGATCCACACATCTGCCATCAGCTCATTTCTCTGACTGGGCATCTCAGAAGTGGGGTCACAATAAAGAAGAACAAAGCTAAAATTAAGCTGCAGGCCACTTGAGCCTGCCCAGGCTGCCATTAGCTTCACAGCACAGGAACCTACAGGGCATTTGTCACAAGAGGTTGTCACTAAGTCCTGACTGATCAGCAGAATGTGGCATGGAACCACTCACAGAAACCATGAGCTCCAGAGGGACTATTCTGAACCAGTGATAACTGAAACACAATACTTCCTTATTGTAATTAAGTGTTCAGCATTTTACATGGAAGATTAGCCCATCCTCTAGGAATTACCAAATGCCCACACTGTGGGAATGGAAACCCAACTAAATCCCTTAATTAACAGATCCCGTTTTGATTCATTTAGCTAATTTGTATCTGTTGCACAGCCAACTTAGCCTCTGAGTGACTAAGCCCCATTATAGTCACAAGTGTTTAAGAATGGGGTACAGGAGAACCTGACTATCCACAGAAGATATGGGCAAAAACTAGGTTTAACAATTACTGTTCCAAGTCGGGCAGTGGTGGCACACGTCTTTAATCCCAGCACTTGGGAGGCAGAGGCAGGCGGATCTCTATGAGTTTGAGGCAAGCCTGGTCTACAAGAGATAGATCCAGGACAGGCTCCAAAGCTATAGAGAAATCCTGTGGGGGTGGGGGGAACGGGACACAATTACTGCTTCTGCTCCAATAATTAGCAGATACCTTCTATCTCACCCAAACTAAGTTTATATCACTAACAAATTACCTAAGTAAAAACTAAAATACACTGAAACGGCATAGGCCGGCCATCCCAGCTACTTCAAAGGCTAAGGCAGAAGAACTGAAATTTCAAGGCCTATCATTCCTTGGTTCAGAGCAAATTCAAGGCCAGCATGGACAACCTCACGAGTACTGTCTTAAAGTAAAAATGAAGAGAGGACTGGGTATATAGCTCAGTGGTAGAGTACTTGCCAGGCATACATAGGTCCTAAGTCCAATTCCCAGTACCCTAAAAACAAAACAAACCAGGAAATGATACCCTTGTAATATAACCAACTGACTTCAAATTTTATATAAAACATTTGGAATTAAGCAATAACTGCTTCAAAGTCTGGTTCTTAAAACCTCAGGCACACAGATTCTCACATAAGAAGATAAGAAGCATCTGTCAGCTTACAATTCTTGGCTCTTAACAGGGAACAAAAAGACTAAATCCTACAAGCTTATCATTCACAGCACCCCATATCAATAATGCGTCTATGACATGAGCCAGATGGCCTAACACTCCCTGCTGAACAAGGAGACAAGACCATGACTCTGAGTCCCACAGGTTAGAGGCCAGTACCGTCAGCACTGGTGGGCAAGGAGTCTGAAGAGACACTGTCCTGCTCGACAGTCCTCCTAGCACTTCTGTGTGCAACAATCACTCAACAATGACGCCATCTGTCTCCAGAGACTCTTAAGAAAAAACACTGCGCATGGCTCAGAAGGATCATACACACTGCTAGTGAAACCATGTGACCTACCTTTCCCAAGGAATAATACAGCCAAACAATTCTGAACTATGACTCTGACTCCTTCAAAAGTAAAACCATAAGTTAGGGACTGCCGAGTCCTGGTGCTGTCCCCAGTGTCATCGCTGTGGACACAGGCAGCTTTTAGTGTGGCTGTGACACTGCTCCAAGTCTCTACTAACAACACATCTTACTCAGAGAACCTGAACTGTTCCTCCTTAGGACACTAAGAACAAAGTGCCAAGTGTGATTTTTTTTCCTGAGTTTTCCCAAATCTATGCCACACTGATCACATCACAAAGTCAGATTCAAAAGGGACAATTCTATTCCTATGATAATCCAGACTCCCCAGATTATCAAGATTATATTCCTTAGCTGCCTACCAGACAAACACCAGAGCCTGCATGGCTCCCACAGGAAAAGAGGGACATCAGTCAAGTTCTTTGGCTACTACAGGCATGGTCTTTATGCGGCTTCACCGAAGAAGGAATGATTGGCACCTTTCTTCTCAGTTAGTGTTAGAACAGCCAGCTACCCAGGCCTAGAGTCCATATGGATGTCAAAACTTACACACAAGTGTTCACACCTCACAACGTACAACCGTCAAAAGCAGAAATGATCCAAACGCCTGTCAACCGACAATGTCACACAAGGGCAAGCCTGGAGCCTGGACCATATAGTACCTGTCATACAAAGGGAGGGCCAGAGTATACAGCATGCAGTCCTTGTCAAATGTGGCCCAATTCCTCCCCTGGGTTCACCCCATGAAAGTTCTACTTCTGAGCAAGAGTCATGGCGTCAATCAAGCTCTCAGTACACAGCACTTGAGAACAGTCACAACCTAAACTTCAGCAACTGCTAAATAGGTGCTGTAAAACAATCATCACAGAAAATGCTGCCCTTACTCCTCTACCCTAACACTGCAATTTTAAAGACATTATTTCTAGTATTTTAGATACAGTAACAAAGAATAAATCATTGTTAGGTTGAAAAAAAATATGCTTATAGGAAAACCCAATAATTTGGATATTGAAGCAAAGCCTCACAAAGTCTCATGGGTAAACAAAGTATAAGCTTAGAATTCTCACACAGAGCTAAGTCTACCGGAGTTCTTTCCTTTTTCTCCACATTACAGTCACTTAGAAGCCAAGTACACACAAGAGCTACGAGTGTCACAAAGCCTCTGAAATGCACACAGGCTGAGCGCAGGCCAAGGGATATGCAAGGGGGTACGTCGGACTCATCAGGGAAGAAGACCATGCCCCACCATGGGGACCCCAAAAAATCATGAGGAGGAGTCTGGGGAAGACAGACCCCAGCACTGGCTCCTCTTGACTCTTTACAGGTCCCCAGTGCAAGAGGTAGCCAGTCCTGTGCTCCCTAAGCCTGGCAACAGCCATTCTCCAGAAACCTGCAGAGAAATGTCAAGGAAGTGAGTGGCTACTGGTACATAGTCATGAAAGATATTCCTCTCAGGAAGCAGACCTAAGAAGGCAGCGCCACTAAAATCACTCTGGAAACCCAACTGACATGGAAGAAATCGATTTCTGTACAGGCAGGGGAAAGCAAGCACAAAGTCAACAGAACGTGAGACAGGCACGGGTTGCTTTACCTTTCTCCACCACTTCTGCATCACTCCTCCTAATAACAAACTACATGTCCTTCCAAACCAACAGCACAAAGACACAGAGCAGCCCTGGTAACATACCTTCGGAGTTCAGGGTGATGAGTGTGACGTTGCTTCCAATGTTCTGGCTTCCCGGCTGGCCGCAGTTAGACACAGAGTCACTGGCCTCTGACCCACTCTCCCCATCTTCATTGTGACTGTCATCCTGACCTGGTACCTTCACCACGATGGTATTCTGTCGACGCCCAGGAACAGCGCTGGTGGGAAACAAACACAGCAGCCCACGCTGTGAGGGGGACATGAGTGGCACACTGAGACCAGCCCTGACTCACTGTGCTGTGTGGACTTATCCTAACGCCTAGCTAAGCATGGACCAATGTACAAGGTGGATCCCCCAACATGCAGTATGTCCCCACACGCACCCTCCATGGAGATGAGCAGCAACATCACACAGAAACAGTCTAAGGCCGAGAAGACACATAATATAAAGCAACTGCTTAAAAATATGAATAGCACAAAATAAATAAAATCATAACTCACTAAGACTCAGCCTAGAATCCTGCTTCCATATCTCAGAGGTCATCCTAAGAAGGCTGATTTGCACAATGGTCATCGTGTGTCAGAGAGCCCTCATCCATCATCCATGCTGTCAGACACCCAAGGTGACTCAGCCTCCAAAACACCTCCACACTCCCCATGACTCCCACAAACAAATCCTAGGAGCAGCTTCCAAGGCCATCAAGAATGCCAGTAGTCCCCTGGGAGCCATTCTTGGTACCGGGCCCTGAATACAGCAGCAGCCAATAGCTAGCAGCAGAAAGTGCTCAAAAAGATCCAAGGTTGATTTGTCTTCTGCATGACCCTGTCAACATTTTGGACTATGACCTATTACACACTACAGAGGAAATGAAGCTCTATTTCCCACCAGCAAAGTCACAGGGGCCTTAAAACTCTAGTTATCCCCAGAGGCAGGAGCCACACCAGGTCCTTCCTGGACCTGACCCCATACAACTAACACTCCACACCCATGACCTCAGTGCAAGTCTGGAAACCCATCCTTTCCCCAGCAGCCTGGCTGGCCTCCAGCACCCCCACATCACACCCTAGACCTCCTGTTTCCTAGAGAACTGGACTAGGACAAGAAGCCAGAACAAAATTGGAAAGAGTCACACCCCACAGAGGGAAAAAAAGCATGACAGAAATCTGTGAGAACACTGCTGGTAACCAAAAGGTGACAAAGCCTTGCTGAGGCACAGAGCCAGAGCCAATGGGCAGCGGCCCCCCACAGGGCATTGCCATTGCACACTTTCATTTCTGACTGAAGCTCCATTCAACACATCTAAAAAAGAAAAGGCATAAGAAAAAAGCCACAAACTCAACACGGCTCAGAAGAGGATCGACTGCAGGACAGACAGATGGGAGTGGCAAGATGACCATGTGCAATCCTCGGGCATCTTCACACACCAGATCTAGCCCAGAGGTCCTCACAGCTGCCACATCTTGCGCTCTCTCACCCACCATCACTAGGCTCCAGGCTAGCCCTTCCTGACCTACGAACTATGGTGGTCGCTAACAGAATCAACCTTGTGACCACAGACATGGACATGTGCTTGGACTGTGGCCTGGCTCAGGAATGCTCACTTATCCTCATGACAGTGGCAGGGGAAGGTGGGGTGGTGGTGGCTACTGACTTGCTAACGATATTATCCAGGGAATCCGGTGCCCTGTTGCTCAATGGGTCTTCCATCTTGGCTACAATGGCGTTCTGCCGATCATTGTTGAGTATTACTGTAGTCTGGGGGACGACGCTATGAAACAAAAGAATCACAAGAAAAAGAAGACCTTAAAATAACAACATTCATTGTCAGAGCACATCGTCATTCAACAGGGTCAGCTTCCAGGGCCTGCGCCAAAGAGCACGGACAGTCAGGGACAAGTAAACTGGAGATGGGACTCTCCAGTTTCCTGCTGCTTAGTATCTTTGGTTGACGCAAATGCTAATGTGGGCAGGCTGGGCTGTGGACAGTTAGCAGAGTGGGGAGGACAGGCTAAGGCACTCTGCTGTCCTGTACACCTGCACGTCATCTCAGCAACAGGTTTCCATGAAAAACCAGCTTCCTTTCTTTTTCCTTCCCTTGTGAGTAGGTGTGTGTGTGTGTGTGTGTGTGTGTGTGTGTGTGTGTACACAACTTACATGTGAGTTTCATGCAGAGGCCAGAGTAGGATATCAGGAATCTTCCTCTACTGCTCTCTGCCTTATTCTTTTGAAACAGGGTCTATCACTGAACAGTAAACTAGTCTGTTCAGCTAGGCTGGCAGGTCAGCAAGCAGGGGGATCTGCCTGCCCCCAACCCCCAAGAGCTGGGGTTACAAGACACGTACAGCCATATCTGGATTTGTCCACGGTGTTAGGGATTTAGTCTCAGATCTTCATGCTTGCAGAAGCATGAGCTCTTACCATGAACCAGTCTCCTAGTCTGGTTCAATTTCTTTCAACCGCATCCCTCCCAAACCATGACAAGGCATGAGGGTCTCACAGCTGCCCTCCTCAATGTTATTCTACAGCTATACTCTAGAATGCGGCAGTCAAGCCACGGGTAGCAAAGGGAAATGTGCACATACACTACCCGCAGCCCTCTGCAAAGTGCAGAACCAAAACAAGAGGCCATAAGGCCTGGCTTTGAAAATAAATTCTAGTAAACAATGAGACATGGCCCAAGAACCACCGCTCAGCAACACCCTGAAGGCAACACTGGGGTGCAAGTGAGCAGGACCAGCAGCTGGCTCTCAAGAGACTTTTTCACATGCCAGTCACCGTGTCAACTCTTAGCACTCCATAGCATCGGGTTGTCTAAAGTGTGCTCTGCTCTGAAGAGCCAGGACTGGAAAGAACTGCCACTTGATGCAGTCAGTTACGTTACCTGAAAGCCCAGCGTCCTCATCCAGAGGAAAGGGTGCTCCATCCACATGAAAACCAGCCACCTGCCATGGTCACTGGCCTCTCCACATACCCAGGCACATTCCCAAAAAACAATTTTCCGAAATGCAAATGTGAAGTACCTACACGTCAGGCTAGTTTGTTTCTCAGTCATTCTATGTATTTTCTGGTAACACCTACAGATGCTCACCAAACCATGATGGATCCAAAGTGATCCCAAGTAACCCAGGCGAGCTCTGCCTGCTGCTATGGTCCTGTGAGGCCTCCAGCATTCACACTCCTAAAATGACATAAACCATGTAGGATCTGACACATACACATTTACACAAACAGCCATGTGCACACAGAAGCCACACACACACGTTATGAAGCAATTACAGGTTAACAGTGAGCATACAAGGGCCTGTGAACACTGTCGTCAGCTGTAAAACCTGAGCAGCCTGCATCCAAAGCAACAGAAGCAAAAAACCCTTAACACTGTATAAGACTGCAAGTCTCCTTTAAAGGTCACCATTTTCCACATGTGCACCTGTATAGCTTGGGGCAGTATGGTCTCCTGCACAGGTCCAAACAATGTCCCTTTCACAGACACACAAGTTGCTCTGCCATTGCTCTGCCACCTCCTGGGTCTCTCTAGAGAACCATCTGTGTTTGGGCTTTAAGAACGTTATGTAAATGGACTTGCAGGCTGTCTACAGCAACAGCTCAAACTTCTTGCTTCTGTGGCTGGGGATTGCTCGACAGCATGACAATGTCAATCAGTCTTGTCCACTGAAAAGGAGGGTTTATAGGTTTCCACATGACCACAAACTCCTGTGCCTTGGTCATGAGCACAAATGAAACTGAGCACAACTGCCGGGCCGTGTAGGAAGGACACCTAGTTTCCAGAGACCTGGCCATGCTGGTGCCCACCTGGGAGCTCCTGTCTCTCCATATTTCTTCCAGTATCAAGGACTGTCATCGTCGTTGATAAGGTTCCCCCCTGACTCGGACTAGTATATCCTAGTGGCCAAGGAGCTGAGGACTTGCAGGTACCCTCAGACCAGTCTCACACAGTAACACAGTGATTCACTTACTGCTGAGCTTAGAGCATTCCGGCTTTAGAACATCTTCACCTGTCTGTGCTACTCTTTCTATGCTCTTCCCAGCTTTCCCAGGTCAGCCTGCCTGCCTGCCTTTCCTCTCTCCTCCCTTCATCAAACTAAAGGATCCTTTGCCTGGTTCTAGGCTCCAAAGACCCCCTGTGACCTTAGATCTTACAGTTGGATCTATGATCTACAAGGGGGCTTCTGCCCTTGCTACTACCTGGGCTGTCCCACAGTAAGACTTTTCTATTCTGCTCCAGGAGTCAGCTGTTTACTCCCCCTTGGTTTGTTCTTTTTAAATTCTCTTTATGACCTCTATCCATTCTTTTAAGATCTTGAATTAACTATATATCTACCCATAGCTGCTATTTCTGCTATTTAAAAAAAAAAAAAAAAAACTTAGTGAAATAAAGGCTGAAAAGATGGCTTGGCAGTTGAGAGTGCTGGCTGCTCTGCAAAGTACCTGGCATCAGTTTCCAGTGTCCACACTGTGGGTAGTAATAACCTATAGCTCCAATTCCTGGCAGACTAATGCCCTCTTCTGGCCTCCATGGGTGTTACAGGCATGTAGTACACTTACAAACATGCCAGAAAAACGCTCAGTACAAAAATAAATCCTTTTATAAGACTTAATAAAAAAAAAAAATAAGAAAAAGGGAAATATAACCCATAGACTATTGGGACTTTTGGAGATGGGATCTGGTTTTTGAGACAGCATCTTGCTATGTATCCAAGTCTAGCTTCAAACTCACAACTCCAGCCTCCACCTCCCAAGTGCTGGAACTACAGGCAAGTACTGTCCAGTTCTCCAGTGATGTTAATTTGTAACTGAGATTACACAAGCTGAATATTCTTGCCTTCACATGACACTATTCAGTTGGAAAGCATGTTCCACACCGTGGCAAAGTGCAACTGTGGGGCAGGCTGTGAATTAAGTCCCTTTCCTCTGCTGTGGCCAGAGGAGTGTCAGCAATCAGTGTCTGGCATGCCTTCTGGGTCTAGAAAAAAGACAAGCATTGACTGCAAAGGCTAAGAGAAGCAGGGTGGTTCTTCCTAGTACTGTGAGACAAAACACCAGGGTGCCTTCAACATGGACAGCATGAGATGGGACACTGAGTAAAACAAGCACACACAGCATGAGATGGGGCACCATGGTGCCTTACACTTACAAAGTTACACAGGCAAGGACACACACACACAGAGCATGAGATGGGCACCACGGTGCCTTATACTTACAAAGTTACACAGGCAAGCACACGCACACACAATGAGAGGGGGCACTGTAGTATCTTCCACAGAGGCTACAATCCAAAACAGTGACAGGGCACCTAGGTGCCTCTGCCATAGACAGTCTCTCAGAAAGACAACTCACCTGCCTGAGACTAGAGTTGGCAAGGCACAAGTTAGACATTAACCCAACATTCTCTCACAACAACTTCCAAAAACAAAACAAAAGGCCAAGCTTGCACTACTACTCACAACTCAGAACTTTCTGGGGAAAGCCAGAGCCCCCTTAAGAGAGCCGAGGGCTATTTTTACTTTTACAGTTTCCCTGGGTAATTCTCAGAAGACGTCTGGCTTAAAATCCAAACAAGACAAAAACTATTACAACAACCTCCAAGTTACACACACCCAGGACACACTGAGGGGCAGCTCGGCTAGATTACCTCCCTGCACAGCTGCTCCTCCCTGCTAGTGTCCCCTGCACAGGGACCTTCTGTCTCCTTTGTGTAAGAATGCATTGTCAGCACCTGAAGACCTCGAGCCACAATCAAAGCCCGCTCATTTCAGGCCCAAATGAAGTCAAGACTGGGCTCATACTCAGCCAAGTGTCTTGGGGTTCTGGGGTCTTCATGTTGCTGGCCAACACCCCGAAGAAGACAGGAAGATGGAGCATCATAGCCTACATGCAGCACTAAGTACACAAGAAACAGAGGCTGTCTTGAGATGCCTCATCCACCAGTCAGAAGTCAACTTTGGGCATGGAAGATAAGGGAAGTTTGAAGTCCAGTGGAGTTTCCTGGGGTGTGACCAGCATGCCAGGGGCCACTTAGTGAATGACAGCTAACTTGGGGCCACTGCGGCTTGCAGAACACTGAGCAGGGCCATGAATCACCAGAGCCATAGCACTCCAGCCTTCCACTTGACACCCTCTCCTGACAGAGATACTGATGTCAGAAAAGTCTCCCCTAAGCCAATACAATGGTTTTTGTCTGTAATCCCGGACTGGCGAGACTGAGGCAGAAGACTGCTGGGAACTGAGGCCTCCTGAATGAGAAATATGGGTCCAGATGGCTGCACTGGCAAATTTCTAGACTTAATACTTATTAAAGGCATGGCACTAGTCACATGACATCAGAATAAAGGGTATGCTGGAAGGACAGACCTTCTGAAGATGAACCAAAACTAGCCCGGTGAAGCACCTTCAGAAAACAAGGTTGGGAGTGGGGCAAACATAGGACAGAACACATGGAAATGAGCTCACGGCAGATGCAGTAAAGGCAGAGAAATCTAAGAGGAGAAGGAAAATTCCAGTTAACAGGGTCTTGTTACCTAGGTCAGGTTGCTTTCAATTCACAGCATCCTCTAGGTACATCCTCCTAAAGGTTAGGATTAAAACCATGCACCATGAGAGGGAGCCCATACCTGACACTGCCTGGACGGCCAGGAACCAGAGGCAGAACAGCCCAGAAACCCAGGATAGAACCAAACAAAAACCACATCCCAGGCTCAACTCTTTTCAAATCCTACAGAAAACCCACTGAAACAAAGGTACTTGGGGCTGGAGATGTGCCACAAAGGTTGAGTGCCTGCCTCGTATGTGCCAGACTTCACGCCAGTGTTGGAGGTGAATTTAGAAATGAGCAAACAATTGGAGGGGATGGAGTCATGGCTCTTTCAGGACATGAGATTAGTTCCTAACACCCACATGGAGTGGCTCCCAACTACCTATAATTCCAGCTCCAGAGGAGCCAACACCCTCTTGTGGCTTTAGAAGGGCAGGCGCACACACACATACACACACATGTAACACAGACCACACACTCATACACAGACTACACACATACATGTAAATAATTTTTTTAAGATTTATGGGAGCTGGGGATGCAGTTCAGTCAATAGAGAGCTTGCCTAGCATGCACACACCCTGGGTTTGAGCCCCAGCACCTCATAAACCTCAACACTCAAGGCAGTCAGAAGCCAGTCTAGAATACCTAAGACCTTGCCTCAGAAAAGGGGTTTGAACTGTATATACAATTGTAAAATACTTAGAAATACTAGGACATGTACAAGAGCTGTACTGGGAGAAACTCGTGAAACAACCACAGATGGTCATGATGACAACTCTTCCCAGAGCGACCTGGACCGACCCAATTCCCTTCAAAGAGCATGCGTTCTGCAGGTGCTGAAGAAGTCCTCTGAGATCTCAGAACACTCACAATCTAACAGGACAGCTCGCTCTGCTGTGCTGACTTTGGAGGCTGGAGCATGTCTTTGAGTCAGCAGGGTTGCTAAGCTTTGTGTGTGTGAACTGGTACCTCACTGGTTAATGCTCAGCCCTGATGTGTACAGAGGAACGTGTATGGCTGTGCAAGGTAGCACAGACCAGGCACGAAGATCAGGCATGACATTAAACAGAAACATCCAGAACTCAAAATTAGATAAGAAGTAAACAAGCCCATCACGGCCGAGAGACCAGACACTCCACAGTCAAACAGCCCTGTCTTGATCCTAGCACGCTCTGAGCCTCCAAAGCAGAGGCTTCTGAGAATGCTGATGACCCTGAAGCAGAAGCACGAAACACGGGTTCCCACAGCACTCCAGGAGACCAGCTAAGAGTCAGAGCAGCTTCACCATGACTTTGCTTCAACGCGAGACAAACGATCCTAGGCACTGAGAGTCGTTGCTTATTATATAACCATTCTCCATCACACACTTCGTCTCTAAAGTCAGTTCAGAGAGAGGGAAAGAATTCTTCAGGAAGTTTTGTGCAACTGCACTGAGGGAAGCTTTAAATCACCTTTTTTTTTTATTTTTGAAAACCGCTATTATACAAAAACTTTTCATTCATCACAGCTTTTTTTCATGTGTGTTTTGTTTGGGTTTGCTTTTGAGGCATAGTCTCATGTTGGCCTCGAGCTCACTGTGTATTCAAGAATAACCTTAAGCTTCTGATCCTTCAATCTGTACCTCCTGAGTGTGAGGATGACAGGCATATGCTACCACATTGGTTTACACAGTGCTAGCAATTGAACCCTTCCCCACTAAACCACCTCTCTAGTCCTAAGACATTTTTAAATCTTTAAAAGCAAAATATCTATTGCTTTTAAAAAATAAGGAACAAACATTGTCCGAGGTAAGAGTCTTAATTAAAAACAAACAGAAATGCCTGATTTGAAAAGTTGTTATCAAGCAATATGGTTCTACAAGACACCGTGGAGGCAGCATGCTGTCACTCTGTCTGGGTACTGCCTGCATGACTCCTGGCCTGCATCTGTACTGTACCAACACTCTCTGCTCAGCTATGCTATACACCACAGCCTTCCTTCACCGATCTGTGTCTAGCTGCAGAGAAGAGCAGGAAGGCGACTTGTTCGCCATCTGTATAAAGACGCTTGTACCAGCCCGAGACCTTCTGGTCAGGGAACATGTTACTGGCTTTATTGGAATGCTTCAAGCCCAGCTTTAAAGGATGGCTTATAAAATCACAGGCTTCCACAACGATGTAGATGCTTCAACACCTACTGCTTCTCCAAACATCTTCAGCATTAAAATACCTCGTTGCCATCCCTCCAAGAACAGCTATTCAAAGTCAAATGACATACCTGCAGGAGAGACACAAGCCAGGCGCAACAGAAGCAAAGTCCATTTCCAATTCTGGAAGCCAAATGCCACTGCTGGATGAAACCCCATCCCTGTAACCTCACAAACATTTTTATCATGATTAAGCTTTGGCATCAAAGAAAACAGGCCTTCTTTTATTTACTTTTTTTTCTTGAATTTACTCACTCAGGTGCAGAGTCTGAAAATCTACCCAATGCCAGCTGAGGCTGGCAGTGTTCCCCAGCCTTCTGTCTGCCAAGGAGCACAACTAGATGAGCATTCCTTGGAGTTCACAAGAGCCTCAGACTGTCTAGCCAGGTGTCAATGACCAGCAGGGGGCATAGATTTCCAGAGCAGAGAGAAGGCCTTGGGGACCACCTCCTGCTAGATCTAGACCTCTGTAGCCTCTCCAAATGGAAGACAGTGTCCTATGCGCTCCCTGGAGGCCTCCTTAGAGCTGGAAGACCGAGGCCGGCACCATGTTGGTCGGTGAGTTACAGCCACAGTCAGGTGTTAAGTTATTTTCAAGAGTATATCATCCGACGTAAGATCATTCAGCTTATGTACTTCTCTTGCGTGTCCAAGGCCCAGATAAACAGAGCACAGTACTTTATCATCCAGGACAAAACTGCCTTTTAGCTGTTTCTAGAAACCAGGCTATGCCCCACGGCCCAGGTTCTGTGTGAACAATTCTCCTTTCTTCTCTGTGTCTATCCATCAATGAAGTCATTCACCCTTCACTGAAATCCTGGGATTCAGCTCTCAGCCTCCAGGCAGCTCTCAAGCTTCCTGTTAACAGCCTTCTAGAGAACATGGCCCCTGTCACCACCACACCAAAGTAGAAAAGTGGCCCAGATCTCCATCTTTCTAATAAGGAAACTGGGGCTCAGAAATGTCTAGGACCTGGGACTATCTAACCAGGTGAGCCTGACACCCAGTGCTTCCAAACACGGAATTCCAAAGCTTGTGCCCTTGAGGCAAGGCCACAAAAACCCACCCTCTCCTACTCCAAGTCCTCCTATAACCTAGCAGAACTAGAACAGAGAAAAAGATGTTCTCCAGTTCCTGAAGACAGTCTGTTCCAGAAGTGATAAGGACTGAAGTGTTATGGCCAAAACAGGCAGTACCATCTGAGGGAAGAGGACCACTGCCTTTTTAATCTCCTGCTGAAGACATCAGTGCTGTGTGGTGCAGGCCCAGAAGCTCAGGAGTCAGTGTGACAGATGTGGCTACCAGAGTCTAAGTGTGAACAGACAGGCTAAGGTGTCCTTCAGTGCCAGAAACAATCTCATCTAACAAACACCCTCCCACAAATGCTCCAGTCCTGAGCATTCCCATGAAGGCTGTGTCGTCCCATGTGGAATTCAGACAAAAGACATCCTTGCGGTTTATATGCAGCTTGAACTTTCTAGGAATTCAACTACTGTGTCAGTCTAGAAAGACCTACACTTTGCATCACTGGAAATGGCACAGAGAATTCGCCATTCTCAACACTCCACTGCCCACTGGCGATGTCTACAACCACAGCCTCAGCCCAGAGACGCTACTAGAGGCTTGTCTCCCATCCATCGCTGCTGCCATCCACTCCGTCAACTCTTACAGCTCTATTTCTGAACAGTATGTTTGGGACAAAGGGGTATTTCAAAAACAACTGCCTTAAGAGGCAATCGGTCATATCAATTGATCAATCAGGCTTAATAGAGAGCCTGCACAGACACTGGCAAGTGTCTGTAGGGAGACACATGGTGAGCTGTGCAGTCCACTTCAGTCTCAAGAGCAACTCTGCCTCCTCAGAGAAGCTAGACACGCAGTTTCCTCCCAACAGAGAGGTAAGAGTGAAGCTGGCATGCTCTGAAGAGCCAGCAACGAGTGGCTCTGCCCCGCGGGCCTCATTAGGAGCCATCTCAGAAAGAGGACGAGGAGGCACTGGTACTCCTGAGCACCCCAAAACCATCCAAAGTAACCCTTACTCCCCCTTCCCACATACTCCCTTCCAAATCCACAAGGCACCTACTGCTGCTCTAGATACCAGTACCTAGCAAGGTGGCACCTAGCAACCACCCACACTGCAGCAAAGTCCCTGGTGTCCTTCTTAGCTTGCTGTGGCTCTCACTGCCACCCCACTGTTCTGTTCTTCGCAGACCCAATAGGCAAGAGGCTGTGGAGCTTGGAGCACAAAGATAACATGTCCCACTATCACAAGCGGATTTCCTCCTATATGCTATAGGAAAGAATGCACACAGCAGGAGCTCTGAGTGGCGCTGCTGCCCGGAGGGATCTCATGCCACACGCCTATGGACCCAGGGATTGGAAGGACACTTTCTGAGGCACCTTTCCATCCCACTAAGCCAAGCATGAAACATCCAAGATAGAATACAAACCATACAAAGCTCTCTAGGAGGAGGCTACAAACCTTCTATTTAAAAATTAGGCACAAAAATGTAAGTCTCAGAGCTAGCACAAAGTTTGCTATGATCAAGTGAAATTTATAAATACCAGCCCTGAAGAAAACATAGGCAATGACCAGCCAGAGGTAGGAAAAGAAAAGAAGCAACATACATGGGCCAAATTCATGGCCAGGTGCAAAAAAAGAAGAGTTCGTCTGCTTAAGCCAAGAAGAACGCTGGAGCAACTCAGGTCGTTCCAGCACAGAGCCTGTGCTTGGTTTCGGTCTAGGTGAAACCAGCACCATGGAAGCACCAGGGCAGATATCCGGGGCCAGGGGAGATCAGTAACAGCGGCGCCTGGGTTGGCACAGGAGCACTTTTCCCAGGGTGGCCTATGGAGCCTTGGCTCTCTGGTACTTACCATCGCACTTTGTTGCAGGTCTGGGTGGCGCCAAGTGGGGAACCAGCCACCATGGGGACCTGGATGGGACTGTGCTGTTTGTTGGTGACCAGGTCTAGCTTTTCTTCCAGAGATTTGCAAGTAGCCTCAAGAGCTTGCAGCTTGGCCTCAATGCTATCCAACCGCAAACATATCGTCTGGTTAATAGAGTACAGGAAAGACTGGAAGTAAAAACAGAAAAGCTTCAGAGAGGGTGTTTTACCCTGGGAGGGGCAAGTCCATGGACCCTAAACAACTGGCTCCTAACTCCACCCAGTCTAGCCCTGGGCCGTGCCTAGGGATTCAGTGAGAAGCTCTGGGCAGTGCCTAGGGATTCAGTGAGAAGCTCTGGGCAGTACCTAGGGATTCAGTGAGAAGCCCAGCCCTCTGTACCAAACAAGACCCTTTTGCAATCTCACCTACACTAAGACCATAGAGTAATAAGCTTACCACTGTGTTCACCCGTAGAGTCACACATTAAAACTACAAAATCAGATTGTACCTAACATCCAAACAACACCTGGAAAACATGGGCCCTGCACTCACATTGTATGAAAATACACACACATATACAAAAAAAAAAAATGGCTTGCCATTCACAGGTATACCCCACAGAAACCTGGTAATGCCCCCCCCCCCCACTTCAAGGACCTTCTAAATAGCAAGCATGCCACCTGGTGGCCCGCAAAAGGAGCAGCCACTAACTACCAAGCTGAAATCAGTAGCCAGCCATGTTTCAACTCAGTCAGGAACATGCAGACCAGAAGGAAAGGCTTTGCTCCTTCAACTGCCAGTCCTGTCAGAAGCCACCACATGCATGACACAGGAGTTCTACTACAGTGAAAAGAGACCTCTAGGCCAGCATTCAGGATGCTGGTTAGCGAGAGGAAATGCAGGAATAAGGCCAGCAACATCTGAAGGAAACAGAATAAGGATTCGACTGGAGGAGAAATGTAGCCTTAGGGACACATCAGAAGGAAGGAACAAGCCTGAGAGAGCAGAGGCTGCAGCTTAGGCTGACCCTAGACCTCAGGACACAGGCATTCAGAACAGACTGATACTCTGCACCTACTCCGAGCTAGTGGGGGCCAGTCTCTCCTCTAACTTGAAAGGGAATTGCAGAATACAATCAAAACCACAACAGTTGCAGCGGCAAATAGCATATCACCAAAGCCTAGTGCATGGGTCCAGGGCACTCGGACCCGCCAACCTTGGCTCTTAAGAACTCTGAGCATCCTTTCCCCTGCTATGCACAGCAGTTGGGAGCAGCTGCAGGAATGCCCTACATCCACCTCTGCTCATCACAGCACAGCAAAGCTAGCAAGGAAAAGGTCAGAGAAGAATTTGACCCTCCCCTGCTAACCGCTCCACAGAACCAAGCACCGAGGTTGTGTGCAGGAGGAAACAAGCAGCAGCATGGACTCGGCTCCAAGTGCCCTGGTCTGGTCGTCAATGGAGGCGATGTCAACAGCGCAGGGAGAGGGATACATCACGAGCACCAAGTGGTGGCCAATTCTTGAGACAAAACCGTGGACCACTATTTTTATAATTGGAGAACATCAATTATTTGCCTTCCAAGTTCTTTTAATAGTTAAACCATTACTTTAACTGAAAGAGAAATGTTCTGCCTGGAGTTTGCGGTTACAGGCTAACTAATGTCTCAAGCAAATCCATAATGAAAGAGGGGAAATAATATTTTCCCTAGCATGGCTCCGCAAGTGAAAATGACCACAAGCAGCTCAGACCTGTCTGTGGAGTTACAGCTGCTAATGTGGCGTGTGAATGTCTTCTGTCCCCTATGCGACAGCACGCACGCAAAGTGCAGCTCCTTCCCTTCTGTTCACAGATGTGTCCTGTGACACAGTGGCGGTCACACTTCACTTGGAAATCTGGTGCTGGCCTTCTGCCCACTGGTCTGAAGTTGTTTTTCACTGAACAGACTGTTTGCTTTTTTCTTTCTTTCTTTCTTTCTTTCTTTCTTTCTTTCTTTCTTTCTTTCTTTCTTTCTTTCTTCCTTTCTTCCTTTCTTCCTTTTTTGGAGCCAGGGTCTCTCTATGTAGCCCTAGATGTCCTAGAACTCACTTTGTAAACCAAGATGACCCTGGAAGTGAGAGACTACCTGCTTCTGCCTCCTGGATGCCAGGATTTAGAGTGTGCGTCACCAGCCCTGGTCTGTGTAGACATTTTAGTCCCCACTGCAGCTGCCACCACTTTTCCTCGTTACCAGAGTGAACTGAGCACCTCAAGCAGATGCCCCTGACACAAAGGAAGCACAGGGAGAGGACTGGAGTCATCTGAGTTGCTCCTGCAGACTTCTCCTGTGCTAATACTTACCTCTGGTTCTGCAGACACTGACTTGCAAGTAAGCAGAAGCAATTCACTCACTGACTGACTGAGAGGACCTGGGGCCATAGAGACTCTCAGCTTTCCTCCCATCTGAGGCAGGCCTATGTGCACACACAGGAAGACATCTCATTTGTCCTCCCAATTAATGTTTCCTGCCAGGAAAACCCGGCCTACACTTGTTTTTGTTTTTCGAGACAGGGTTTCTCTGTGTAGCTTTGGAGTATGTCCTGGAATCCACTCTGTAGACCAGGCTGGCCTCAAACTCACAGAGATCCGCCTGCCTCTGCCTCCCAAGTGCTGAGATTAAAGGTGTGCGCCACTACCGCCCAGCACTGGCCTGTGCTTTATGCAGCATTTCAGGGGCATCTCTGTGCCATTTACTGTGGCATCATCTGGGAAGAGGATCTTCATAGATGCATTTCAATAATTAAGATCATCCAGGCCTAGGTGAGGGTAGGCCTCAGACATAGACTTTAATGACAAGACTGGGCTACCTGGAGGTCACAGCATAGAAGAGGCAGGAAGAGCCTCCCCTGGGATTCTAGAAGGTATGGCCCTGCCACTCCAGGGCTGTAAGAGGGTCACTTCTGCTGTTCTAAGCCTAAATTGATGGTAGAAAATCGACACAGGCTGGGCGGTGGTGGCGCACGCCTTTAATCCCAGGCAGAGGCAGACGGATCTCTGTGAGTTTGAGGCCAGCCTAGTCTACAGAGTGAATTCCAGGACAGACTCCAAAGCTATACAGAGGCAGGCAGATCTCTGTGTTTCAAGGTCAGCCTGGTCTACAAAGCAAGTTCCAGGACAGTTACACAGAGAAATCCTGTCTCAAAACAACAAAAACAAAAAGGAAGGAAAGATGTCTCAAAACAACAAAAACAAAAAGGAAGGAAGGAAGGAAGGAAGGAAGGAAGGAAGGAAGGAAGGAAGGAAGGAAGGAAGGAAGGAAGGAAGGAAGGAGAGAACACTGCACACAGGACCACACGGTACCTTTATAGAGGGATCCTGGCAATTGATCTCAAGTCGCTGGCGCTTCAAAGCAGGTTCATCATCATCTGTCACGACATGATTCTCCAAAACAACTGAAATGCAACCACAGAGACAGCAACTGGCGTGAACACGGTAAGATCCTCAGGGCTCTTTACAACTACAGCCAAGCACAGGGCTGGCACCTCAATCACTTTGTTAAAATTCTCAGCCAGGAAGAAAAAGGGCCTCCCTCACCCCACAAAAACATCAGAGCACCCAGTCAATGCTCGCCAGAGGCAAAACCACACTAAACTCCATTCGTGACATTTATTCAGTGTGTCTGCGGTCAAAAGCACCCTCACCTAGCCTTTGGTCCTGGGCCCACTCCCAACATGGGGCTGAGAGGCACATATGTGCTGACAGTCACAACTCTCTCTGCGTGTCATATGCCCCCAAACTAGCACAGCAAACACGCTGAGTTATGTGGAAGCTGCAGCCGCTCAAGGACTGCCTGCCAGCAGCTCCTGCTGCTTTCAGATGAGCAAGGTAACCCCAATTCCAGGCTCTGCAGTACCAGCCCAACTTTCTAATCTCATCTAAAACTAAGTACAAAACAAGGTCAAAGAGTGCCAGAGTCAAAGAGCAGCAGCACCCTCCGTGACCTTATCTCTGCAAACTGCACTTCTGTTGACCTCAGCCATATAGTCCTTTTCTCTACACAGGAGCAATCATCTCTTTCCATCTCTCTCTGTCTCTCTCTCAATACACACATACACACACACATTTATTTTTGCTTTTCAAGACAGGGTTTCTCTGTGTATCTCTGGCTGTCCACTGTAGACCAGGCTAGCCTCCAACTCCTAGAGCTCCGCCTGCCTCTGCCTTCCTCCCAAATACTGGGATTAAAGGCGTGTGCCACCACCGCCCAGCTAGCAGTCATTTTAAGACTTATTTCTATTTATGTACATACATCTATGAGAATGTATGCCACATGTGTGTGGGTGCCCTCAAAAGCCAGAAAAGGGTATCAGTCATTGGAGTTGGAGTTTCAGGTGGTCATAAGCCATCTAACATGAGAAAAGAACTCATGTACTCTGGCCTGACACAGGTCACCTTCACAGATCTACTAATTCATAATTGTGGAATTCTGTACTCAGCATTTGTTACTGACCTTTATGCCATGAATGTTTTCATTCACTAGTTCAATTTTCTCCCATCTCCTTGCCTGCATGTGCACTTCTCCAGCCTCTGTGCGCTCACTCACCTCAGAGAGGACAAGGTTCTGCCATCTACAGATCTGTGTGAGAGAGCGCACGCGCACACGTGTGCATATATCACATGTGTACATGAGCAATGAGTCTGCTATTCTAAAACAGTACAGGCAAAGGTTTCTCACAGATGATGCTCCCCAGAAGTCTTATCAGATTATCACTTCTGTAGAGTCTCCTTAAATAGACACTCGGCTAAAGTTTCCAAGGGTTTTGCATTTACAATCATTAGAAAATGGCTGGTCTCAGCAGAAGTCAGGGCGTCTGTTTTCAAGCAGTCAGTATAGGGATTAGGTACTAGGACTTTTCTGAAAAATAGTGTCTTACCAAAATGTTACATGCACATAGCAGCTCTACTCTGGGAACTGGCCCTGCAAAAAATTATTTGCCCAGATACATGTGCAAGATCTTCCCTAGCAGAGTCCACAGAGAAGAGAAGCAGGGCTAAGCACATCACACAGCATCTAGGTGGTCAATAAACTAGTGCAAGCCTGTGAGGAGAATGCCAGTCACTGAAGAACCGTGGTTACCAGTCCTCCAGTGTAATTCTGCAGGGCCCACTGCAGCAGCGAGCTACACACAGGAGGTCTGTAGTTACCAGCCCTCCAGTGTAAGTCTGCAGGGCCCACTGCAGCAGCGAGCTACACACAGGAGGTGGAGTGAAGTAAGAGCCACAGGTCCCACACATGGCAGCAGCATCAGAAGGCATCATGGAACAGGTAACAAGTACACGATGGTACTCATGCTGCGCATGAGTAGCTGTACTGCTGGAAACAAACCTGGGGGCCAGATAGAAAAGTAAGCAGGTGCTGTGTGTATGCGCGCACATGTGTACCCACACACATGCACTCGTGCAGCACTGCTTACATCCAGAGTTTCTACACAGAGCCGGCACCACTGTGAGTCTGCTCTACTGCGGGAACAAGGTCCAGCAGAGGCTTTTGATCCTGAGGCGACATGAGAGAGTTTATCTGCTGTCTCACAGCTCTACCTGGGTGGTCAGGACTCAGGTCTTCCACTGCAATCTGAACCACATCCGCCAGGTCCTGTTCTGACATCATCCAGAACACGAGAAAAGGGGCACACCAGTAAGCGAGAATCCAGAGGTCACAGGGTTGGGCTTTCTGTCACCTGCAAGAACCACAAGGGAAGATTAACAGTCATGGTGTGGAATAGATCACTAGCCCTGTGTGGACAAGGAGTCTTAGAAGTCTGCAGGTGCTTCACTACAGGGCTCTACTTGTTTTCTGAGCACTCAGAAATGCTCAGATAAATAAATAACTAGCTGCTTTTCTCCTTTAAAATGAAAGAAAGAAAGAAAGAAAGAAAGAAAGAAAGAAAGAAAGAAAGAAAGAAAGAAAGAGGGAGGGAGGGAGGGAGGGAGGGAGGGAGGGAGGGAGGGAGGGAGGGAGGGAAATGGGATGGGCTATCCCCAGCTGAAAGCCTCATGTCCCCACTCCCCCCTCAAGCCTTCTGTCCTAAGCAGGTTTGGAGCCCTCACATCAAGCCTAGCATCTCCATGGGCCCCAGCTGCCTACAGGAGCACTGTCAATCACTACCATCATGCCTCAGTTTCCTCAGTGATTATCACAGCCTAGAGAACCAACCAGTGTCATAGCTGCATAGCCCTCCAGCCCCCAAGAACCTCCCCTAGCAGATCCATCTGTGACTTTTTTCCAACTGCTGTGATGTTTTGATTAAGCCACCAGAGACCTTAGGCTCCAACATGAAAGTGAGACCAGGTCCATCAACCCAGATCTAAATAAACAGTTGCAAATAAATAGTTAGACCAAGATAGACAGAACTCAAAAGCAAACAAATACAACAGGTAGAATCATAACAAAAGCAATGGGAAAACAACTAGGAACACCAAGAGAGTAGAAAAGATTAAAGGGAATGTTCAAGCCCACACTACAGAAGACAGGTGAGGAAGGCCCAACGAGTGATCTGGGAAACAAAAGGAGCAAGTCAGGGCCATGGAGTGGGATCTCAGAACCAGAACCCAAGAGCCTCCTAGGGCTGGGGTGCAGGTAAGCAATAACAAGCACAAGGCCCTGGGTTCCAAAGCCAGGACAGAAGGGGGGGGGCTCCTGAAAGTGCAAGTGGGGCTAGGGGTTGCTGATATCACTTATTGAAAGGGTATGCTAGATACCTAGAGGGAAACGAACTTTCCCTTATACATCCAAGCAAAAGACTAAGTGGCTTACAACACAAAGAGAATTCAATTAAACCAGGAAAAAGAAAATGGATCAAAATATTTAAGATACTACAAGAGGGACTGGAGAGATGGCTGAGCAGTTAAAGATACTGCTCTTCCAGAGAATCCCAGATCCAGCTCCAGTACCCATATAGCAACTCACAACCATCCTTCACTTCAATTCTAGGGGATCTGATGCCCACTTCTGGCCTCTCATGGTACTGCATGCACATTACAGACAGGCATACATACAGACAAAACACTCATACACATACAATACAATAAAATGATACTATCAGAAAGAAATGTGAGCCAAGAATTTTATATCTAAACAAAAATCACTATCAAGAGTAAAGGCAGAAGACTCTGATCCACATACACTGTCTAGGAACAGCACCCCATACACAAACTCGTTGTAAAGAATATGAAAAGCCAGGTGGTGGTTGCACACATCTTTAAGCCCAACACTGGGAAGAAGAGGTAGGCAGATCTCTGAGTTTAAGGTCAGCCTGGTCTACAGAGCTAATTCTAGGACAGTCAGGGCCACACAGAGAAACCCTGTCTCATAAAGTCCATAAATAAATGGATAGATGGATGGATGTATGGACGGACGGACGGACAAACAGACAAACAATCTACAAAAAAAGACAAAACAAACACAAAACTTCAGAAAACCAAAATCAGTAGAAAAGACAGTCTGTCGCACAAATTCTAATTGGTCTTAATAATAAAATCCTGGAGTCAGATATTAGGAGGTGAAAGCTAAAAAGAAAAGAGCAACTAGTCACTAATTCTTACCTCTATGAAATCCTCAGATCGAATGGAGTATCCTGTCTCTACAAGTCCTCAGACTGAATGCTAAGCTCCTGTCTCCTCCTGCCTTATATTCCTCTCTCCACCCAGCCATATCACTTCCTGTCTCCACCTCCCTAGTGCTGGGATTAAAGGTGTGAGCCAGTACCACTTGGCTGTTTCTCTTTTAGACTGGATCAATCTCTATAGCCCAGGGTGGCCTTGAACTCACAGAGATCCTATTGCCTCTGCCTCCTGAGTTCTGGGATTAAGGGTGTGTGCCACCACTGTCTGGCCTCTATGGCTAACTAGTGTGGCTAGCTCTCTGCACGCTGATCTTCGGACAAACTTTATTTGTTAAAGCGCAGACAAAATATTACCACAGACAGTCAGCTGAGGGTATGAGGGAAAGCATCCTTGCACCGCCCCCCATAACAACTATTTCAATTGAGAGAACACAACTACAAAATCAATTATAACAATCTTCAGTAACTGTTGCGAGGGGCACTGGGAGTCCCAGCTAAGTAGCTGGGGCTGTATTGTGCAATACTGACTAGTCACAGCCCTGCAACACTGCTGAACACTCCTGAGAGTGGAGAAGCTGACACAGGGGCCTGAGAGTGGTTCCGTTTATGTCTAGGTTAATCTGAGCAGGAAGGACAATCGTGGATGTCAGTATATGGTAGCACACTGTGCCCTGTCCAGTCAAAGGGCAGAGGTGGCAGAGGGCCCTGCAGCAGTGTGTGTCCCTGGAGCCTGACTGTGGTGCTGAAGGTCCAGTCCTCAACAGGAGGAAACCTGACTCCTTGAAGAAAGGGGTAATTACAGATTTCAGGCAAGAAGCACACAAGGTGGGCTTGGACTTGCCAGACCACATGTAAGACACTATGAAAACCACGGGGCTCCCATCTGAAGGAGGCCTTCATCAGACTGTTGTGAAGACACCACAAACACTTCTAGGCTCAATCTACAGGGCACATGGACCTACTTGAAGGAGCTACTTTGAACAAACACAAAAAAGCTGACAGTCACCAAGTGTAACAGTTACAGTGGGGTGATGAGATCCTTGAAATGCATGAGCTGTTTTTGTCACCAATACTTTGGGAAAGAGGGTGCCAGAGTCTCGAGTCTCACCTTGCAAGAAATGAAATAGATGATACCCCCCCAAAAAAAGTGCTGTCCTCTACCACAGATGTCACATCTCATCACCACAGTAATGGGAAATTTCTGCAGGAAATTCAAGCAGACTTTAAAAACTGACAAAACTGGTCAGGCAGTGGTAGTACACATATTTACTCTCAGCATTTGGGAGGCAGAGGCAGGAGGCAGACAGATCTCTAAGTTTGAGGCCAGCCTAGTCTACACAGTGAGTGCCAGGACTATTTCACAGAGAAACCTTGTCTCAAAAAACAAAAGCAGGGGGGCTGAAAAGATAGCTCAGAGGTTAAGAGTACTGGCTGCTCTTCCCAGAGGACCTGAGTTCAATTCCCAGAAACCACATGGTGGCTAACAACCATCTTTAAGGAGATCTGGTACCTTCTTCTGGTATGCAGGTATACATGTAGACAGAACACTGTATACATAATAAATAAATAAATCTAAAAAGAAGACACAATCCCTTTGTTTAAAAAAAGAAAAGGAGACAAAATTAAGAAAAGGGCAATACAAGCCAACAGCTAAGACGCAAGTCTGGTCATGCTACAGTGAGGCGTGTGAGAGACACAAACACAAGAATGCATCACCACACCCTAACACGCGATTTTGTTTGCATTTTATTTAATCAAAAGGGTTCTTCAAAGGAAACCTGAAACAAGGAAAAATTACTTGCTAAACATAGGCTAATTCTTTTTTTCACAGTAATAGGAAAGGCCAGGAAACTTATGAAACTGAGTATAAGGAATCAATCAGTCCCAAGAAAAAGCCAAAACATGGACAGATGCTCCACCTGCTGGGTAACTGGAAACACACAAAGCTGACAAGGTATTGAGCCCCAAACAGTTTGCCAGGGCCTTGGAATGACCTCCTTCCAGCATTTACACATATTGAAGATTCACTCAAAAAAGAACTATAATAGAAGGCAAGGTGGTGTTTTTAGCAGCAGAACAGCTGAGCAGTGGTACACCACGCACTGTGCAAGGAGTGGCTCCAAGCATTGCTCTGGGAGCAGAAAGAGCAGGAGAGGAGAAAGGAGACAAAACAGAAATGCACAGGACACGCAGACTCTAGAGGCTCAATGGCCTGAGACACGTGGGTGGAAAGGAGCCCACTATTTCTCCTCTTCCTTCCAGCAGATGCACAGTGACAGGGTCAGGGTGACACCGGGACATCGTCATCCACCATCCCAACGCTGGTCCATTCTGCTGTCTTCACCCTCAGTCTAAGTACTGTCCCCAGATGAGGAAAGACAGACCTAGGTCGAACTGGAAGCACAGAGCAGCGACTGCTGAGATAATGTCCCTCATGCCATACACAAATCCTGTCTTCTCGCTTCCTAATCGAGAAGCATCAGCTCTGGGCAGAGGCAGCGATCTTCACCTTCCTAAAGCCGCCCAGCCAAATTCAGCACTACACTGAAAACAGTCCAGGGTCTAGCAAATCCAAAGAGCTGGAAATGCAATACAGTAGACCCTTTTCCAGGAAAATTTAGACAGGCAAATCTGGAATTCTCAAAGCTGTGCAGATACTAGAATCACCAGAATCCCTGCCTCAGTATCTCCGGGCAGATGGTCACCAGACAGACTCACCTTTCCAGCTTCACCTACATCAAGTGCAACTACAAGGCCTCTCCAACCCATGGCCCACAAGCCGCATCCACCACAGAAGAGCAATAAATGCTGCCCCATACAAAATCATTAATCTGCTTAACACAGCAAAGTTTTGTTTGGGGGAGGTTTACTTGATGGTGTGGCTTTTGTGCGTGAACCTCATAGATGACAATGTCTATCACAATGTCAAAAGATTGGACAGTCCTAGAAGCCTACCCAAAGAGACACAGGTACAGAAACCTCTGGGAACAAACCCTCAAGAGAGAGCTGGCCTACAGCCTTGGCCTTCTCCAGGCCCAAACACAGAAACTCATGAAGAGCAAAGGAAAGAGCCAGTTCCTCACATATGTGGCTCTGTCCCGTTCCGAGGCCACCTG